TCTTACAAGAGAGTTCTTCAGCAATATATTTTTATACATTTTTATTAATTTTAAAATTATACACATCCCAACTCGTGTACAAATAACTTTAAGAAAGGCGATTTTTCCGTTCCTCTCTTAATGCCAAATTTTATTTATAATATGAATATCCTAGCTTGTTTTAATATATCATCATCATCATTATAATGCATTATTAGATCTAATACTTTATTATTGTCAGGTAAGATGAAACTTCATTTCGTAATCACAGTTGCTGCAAAGTTATCAAAACGTCGGGAGTTTATAGTTCAAATTACTAAAAAAACGCCTAATAATTCGAAACTATTACTTTTATTTGAATATAATACATTTTCTAGTTATGTTCTTTCGTGTCGGAATACGTCCCACAGTGTTCAGTAACAGAACGTCGAAATCAGGGCATTGACCCTTTTACGACTGACACACTGGTTCTGACATAGATTCGGAACAGATTTACTGAAGACTAAATTAGCTATGTACATTCTAATCTCTTTTAATAGCTGATTGTGATATTTAATTTTTATTTTGAGAATATACCGAGTATTATAATCATATAATTTGATACATAATAAGTCAGTGGTGGCCTAGTGGTTAAAAAACCCCAAAGAGGGTTGATGTCAGGCAGGCGGCTTGTCGTAAAAACAATTAGCCAAAACTATTCATAACATGTAAGGCAGACCCTGGCTAAAGCTGGGAAATTGTCAGGTAGAAGAATTTGAAACATATATGTCTTTGTTTAGTGATAAGGTCTTTACACAACACAAAACAGACAAACTGTTACGTTTTTTATCTTTATTTATTGTATATGTTATTCTTGTGAAGTAAATACTTTAATTATTACCTCCTTGTTAATTTTTATTGTAAATAAATTTAGATTTAAATCGACGTATGCACTCGTGACAATATTAGAGGAGCAGTATTTTTTAAGACCATAAAAAATACAGCTGCTAAAATATGAATACATATCTGGTTAATTTTTTCATAAAAAAATTATTGCATTATTTTATTACTAAAGTATATATTTATATTTTTTTTATTGTTTCAGTCCAACATACAAAATCATTAAATAGCCTAATGATATCAAATATTTGAAAATAAATAATTTATTATGTAGATTCTTTAAGTGTCTACATCTTTGTTGGGTGTTATTCGTATGATCTAATTATACTTTTCAAGAGATACTCAAACATGATATCGTCTATTATTTAATGCATGCAGCGTGTTAGCGTTCATTAGTACTTATCTCTTATATTGACTAACGTTCAGACCAACGATGATTCATGTACATGAAAAAATTTACTTAAAGTATATCATTTTAAAACCGGGTCAATTCGACGGCGCCTTTCTACGGAAATGCCAATAAAACCAAAACGCTTCTGCAGATTCTGAAATTGGGTCATTATTACTAATAGCACCGCAACTAAATGCCACTGTGGCATTTTTGAATGTATGGCTTTTATGTAGATTTCATAACAATAACATGTTTCATATACATTTTTTACCATAATTCACTCTACTAATGTTCTATTAAACTCTTATTAAATGCCATTTTATTTTGTGTGACACTTCGTAGTTGTATAGATAAAGTACTTGAAATATTATTTATAATTAAACAATACTAGTGTATGTGAACGACTTCATTTATGAATATTAAATTTTTAACTTCAAATTACTTAATATAAAAAAAAAATTATTACGATTTTAAGTAAATCTATCCGTCATTTTAATTTGTTCTCGATATAAATAAAATATTTATAACTTATCCATATCCAAAGATACTGGAAAATGGAAATGAAATTCACAAAGTTATAAAAAAATCTATACTTATATTATAAAGCTGAAGAGTTTGTTTGTTTGTTTGAAAGCGCTAATCTCCGAAACTACTGGTTCGAATTGAATAATTCTTTTTGTGTTGGATAGTCCAGTTATCGAGGAAGGCTGTGGGCTATATAACATCACGCTACGACTAATAGGAGCAAAGATATAGTGGTAAATGTGTAAAAAACGGGAGAAATTATTTCATCTTTGAAGCCTTCCGTTGCGTGCGCCGTGAAAACGGTTCAAGATACACAAAAAATATGTAAAAAGAATAATAGCTCTTTTAATGATCTAAAAAACAGTCGGCGACAGTATATGTCTATCTTTTAAGATTATCTCACAAAAACCGTTTTTATGGTACCTAATTTGGTCGAAATAATTTGTTTAAGTTGTATCAACATAATAATATTAATCTTTATTCAAATAAACAAATAAATAAGTTGTTGGTTAAGAGTACTTCATTGTGAATAAAAAAAACATAGGTTTTATCATGAAAATTCTACGGGAACTCGACTATTCCGAAAACCCCGCAAGAACGGGAACTATGTGGGAGGAACCAAAAATCTGCCGGAAGTCACTATTCCACGCGGACGGAGACGCGGCAAAAGCTAGTTATAAAATAAATTCCATGCAAACATTCGAACATGAGTGCAAGAAACAGTCGCAGTAGCTATTGTCTCAGCTCTTAAATGGTTTGAGATAGATTTATAATAATTTATTTTTTTTAAATTATTAAAAACATACTATACTAGAGAATATATCATAACATTTTCCTTAAACAATAACTCCAAGTTGCTGAACAAGACCGCTGTACACACTTTTATACAAGAATTTTATTTTCTTTTTTGTATTCGTTATAATACCATTCTCAATATGTAGGTCAGGATATTTTGGAGACGTAGTGTTTTATGAAAACGGCTAACATTTTGGAAGCTATTTTATTGATAAGGAAGTTGAATGTTTTGATAATAGTGCGTCCTTATCGTGTTTATCTTTGCACAGCACATTTTTTTAAAGTTTTATCTTAATATACATATTTTAAACAGTGAAGTGCATCCATACGATATATTTAATATAGTATTTTATTTTTCTTTACGCTTGATTTCGTGATATATATATATACAATAGCCCATATATTCGCTATAATTAGCCTCTGTCTGATAATAAAAATATCTTTATATTACTTTTACGCGACTTTTTTTACCTATAGTTAGTTCTGTTATCTTTACGTATGTAACGATTTTAAATTCGGTTACACTTTAAAAAGTAGAGCTTATTAGAATACACACTCACCATTGTTTTTATATTTCAACTGCATTTTACCCGCATATATGATTGACTGATTCAGAAATAAATATGCATGAGTATTTTTAAATCATACTATGAACAAATACTTATGTATAACGAAAAAATATATAACACTCACAAAACTATATTAAGCTAACAAAAAGTAATTAATTTTGGCGGTAAATTGTTACGTCACCTTCACTCTGAATTATAACAATGGAGTGTCTTTTTCTGACTACAATTTAAATGTTATGAATTTTTATAACTATAATTTCAATGTTATCATCGTATTCTAATGGAAAAACCTAACAAATTTAATTAATACTTAATGACAGCCGGTGTAGGAAAACATCGTAAGGAAACCTGGACTTATAATTTCAAATTATACCTAGGTATAAAATCCACTATAAGCAAGCGTGGTGCTTAATGTTCAAATCTTCTCCATGTGAGAGGAGGCCTTTGCTCAGCTGTGGGCTTTGATAAACTGATAATGATGATGATAAACGGAAGAACATAAATTTAACTGCCCCTATTTTAGGTTTAATCAACGTACCATGCAATGTTTTACAGTGGGCTGCTTCATGAGCTTTTGAAGCAGAAATACGAGCATATCTAAGCTAATACCACAATGGATAATCATTTCGACCTACTATTGCAAATACAGCTTCCTCACAAGAACTTTTATGTCATTTGTTTATAATACTCAGTAAATTTAAAAGCATCTTTAGGTTCGTTGTCCATGCTACTTATAACTTATTAAATAATTAATTGCCATTTTTCCTTGTAGTATTTCATCACTTTGTTATCTAATTATCCATATTACCAACAGTGTTGTTGTAATCTTCAAAAAATTACAGAAAAATAAACAGGGTCAGCATCGTGAAATTAGCTACAATATGTTGCTGTTATATATTAATTAATGTATTATATTAAAGTTTGATTTGATACACATATAATTTATTTTCATTTCCATATGACGAAGTTTCACTTCTTCCTCTCGGAGGGAATCCACGCACTATTTTCTTATCAAGTTATTTGTAAAAAATGTTTTTTTTTTATTTCATTATATTATTTAATATATAAATGTATTGAATGTATAAACTTGGCAGTAATAATCAGTACCAAAAAACCGTGCCTGCGTTACAATATGATTATATTAATGATGATGACGTCATATTTGATCCACTAATAGTGCGATGTTTTGGAAACCTTCAAGGGAATTTGTAAATTAGTACAAAATAATTAAATTTAATAATAAAACATAATTATTTGTAGAACCATTTGTGTGATTCTACTTCTCTAACAATAAAGACTACGTAGGATTTTTTTGGTTAATTTTTATTCCCATGCATATTCAACATTGTCAAAACGCTCTTCCATTTTGATAAATGAGGCAAAATTAATTTTTCTAATACTATATAATTATTTAAATATAATTTATCCGTATTGTCTCCTTTTTAATCCACCCTATTTATAAAGGCCACATATAAAAAATTTGTTAGGTATTTTATTTATATTGTAGATATGGTAAAAGCTTAAATTTAAATCATAAAATATAGAACAATAATAATATTATGTAAGTTTTATTTTGCGAGTACTGATTTTAATTAAGCCATGTTTTTTCTTTTTACTACTGGATTTATTATATTACATTTGACCCGACGTTTCCATCACTTAAAAGTGAAGACGGGTTTATTAGGTACACTCATTAAAATAGCCTCAGCCTAAACAGATTAACTATACTGGACTTTTATAAATTAATATACGTATATAGATAATAATGTTATAAATAGTAACTAGAAGAGAATTTTTAAGAGACCAGAAAGTAATCATGATTTACGTACATTAATAGTTCATGAGTATAAATTTATTTGCAGGCATAGCGCTCCGACCCTTCGGACTTTCTCTCATATATCTACTGTTGTATTTGATATCACCGTTCCCGCATGTTCCTGATGCTTCGACAATCCAAGGTGCGTAAATATAATTTATCTATAATATATATATATATATATATAAAAATTGCTGTTCGTTAGTCTCACTAAAACTCGAGAACGGGTGAACGGATTTATCTTATCTTAGTCTTGAAGTGTTTATGGAGATTCAGGGAAGGTTTAAAAGTTGATTCATTTCCGGAAAACCCTAAAAACAGCCCTTTTCTATTTCCCATACAAACGTTTTTTTTTGACATTAGATTTGACAACTAACTAATTTGTCGATTATTCTGTCCTACTTCAGAACATGGAGATTTATGGCTTAGGTATAGGTAAACTTCAAAAAAATGAATAAAAAAATATTTATTTATCGATTGAGGCAGTACGAATTTTTATATATCTATAGTTATTATATAAGTATTTTTAAATTTTCTTTGCAGGATGTCGTGGGAAATGTCTTCAGCTCAATTTCATAGTTTCAATCCTACTGTTGCTGGTACACGGAGCCTGGCACGGTATATTGGCCGGGTTTCCGCCTTATGGCTCGCTGCTAGAACAATATCCCATCATACAGACTATAGGATATAACCTTGGACTGGTATCTTATGTGGGCATAGAACCACTTATGGCCGTACATTATTTAGCTCCTGAAGTAAGGGAATTAAAGTTGTTTCGTTTTTTAATAGGAATTTTTTAATGTTCTTATCAAATGTATTAATATTTTTTAGCTGGTTGTTATGCTGGCATCTGTCTGTGTATATTTTATTGTGCGATCGTTACTTATGAGCTCCCCAAGTGACGAAATCGTCAGGAAGGACACGAAATATCAGCGTTTTCCTTTACTGACGAGTGCAGGTAAATTAAAAGAACAATAAGTTAATTGTATTATGTATGCCAGAATGTTATTTAATTTTTATTTATTTCGTAGGAAAGTACATGGCTCTCTTCCTTTTAATGTTTTCTGGTATAATGCGACCGAGTGTGACATCTGGTATTTACTTCCTGGTGTTTATGGGGGCGGCGACCGCCTGGGCTTTAGGGAAACCATTGGAAAAGGGATTCGCTGTTGTAAGCAGATGTGTGATGGCTATCATGGGGGTGCATATAGCAGTGCTGCTGGTGTATCAGAGCACATGGATTATAGAAATCTACCCTCCAGATATGGATATGGCTAGGTCGGTAAAAAGATGTCGTAATTTGTGTTACGATTTAATAACTTAATTATACATGTATTGATTAAAAATTTCAGATATTTCGGTCTCACGAAACTGGTAATTCTAAACGAGACAGAAGCAAGTTTCACGTACGAAGTGACTGATGACTATAAGTGGGCGACATTGGCTAGTCCATTGGTCATACTGTTTTCATATTTCTTCCTTGCCATAGAGTCTCGCGAACTGTTTAAGCCGAAGGTATGTTGCGTGGAATTGTCTGAGTTATGTTGATAATATCTTTCTGACTAATCGCTTTTAATCCCATCGGATATGGCTAAGACTAACGCCGTAGACTCATTTAGTGCTCAGTAGTTCTATAAAGTTTTAACTGTGGGGTAGGCGAGGAAAAAGAACCTTCTGTCTGGGCTAGAGGCGGGCAAGTTGAACGGGTCGTTGGTACGAGCGGTGTCATTCAACCGCGGCAATCGACCCTCATCAAAAGAAAAATGGAAAAATGCTACAAAGAAAGTTCGCGTAAGGCGATACGTATACGCACTAGTAGCTTTTATGGCACGTTTTGTGAATACATAGTTTTATGTTTCATGTAAATATGTAGAGAAGAATTATTTTGGCATGTTGGGTAAATGGAGGGTAGTTATAGATCTTTGAGAATTTTTTTATAGACCGTGAGCACTAGTTTTTGATTTCCTTTTTTTTACTATGTTTATTGCACCTGTATATTAATTCAGTTAGTGGAGGATGATCGCATGTGCTAACCAAAACATTGTTATCTTTGAATTCAAATCATTTTGATGTTTTAGACTATATTATTTTTGCAACCTGCTTTCATTCTTTTATAGGTTGCATATTCATACATAAATTCTCAAGCACTACGCGACAACAACGGTGAGACTGATCCTGTAGGTATTGATTTTTATTACATCACTATTTCTCTAATGTCTGCTTGTAACGGAATGTCTGTGTTGTGCTTTTATTATGTTCATGTGTTGTGTCACCACACCGCTTCACACATCGAATCGAAACCATTTTTTCAAGGTATCGTATATATTTATATATGATAAATGACATCTCATTACTAAGATTTCACAATGTACGCTATGTTAACAAATATTATAATAATGTGTATACTCAAAGTGTATGTAAACACAGCTGTTGCGTGGCGCGAGTCCCAGCAAACGTTGGTCGGCGCGGGCTCTTCACCAGGACTCAACCGGCTCCGTGGTTGTACCTGATGAAGGTATGATCATATTTAAAAAACTCTAGTTTTGTTTAAGTATGATGGTAATCGATGCTTCTAGTTAAGACTATATACATCTAGATATTCTAAAAACTTTAGGTACATAGACTCCTATCGATCTCCAATTTGCCTTATTCACAGTAGGTAATGTATAGGATAATTAAGACTTGTCATTAAATTCTTATCATCCTTAAACTTTCCAACAGAATCCGTAACCGAAGTAGCAGAACCAACTCTGATGGATGACATTATTGCGGCCATCGTGGATTTCTTCCAAGTTCTCATCAGGTAATATACATACATATAAGATAAAAATAACTATTTGTTCAGTATATTTTATATTAATGAATGTCTTAAACAGATCGTCCTACATCGCCACAACTATAACCATGATGGCTTGGAGTATAATGTTCCATTCCTGGTTGACGTTTGTGTTCTTGATGTGGGCTAACATAGTGTGGCTATGTCAGGACCAGCGATCCTTCATGCTGAGGACAAGTCCTGTACTCGTCCTCTACGCGATGCTGTTGCTGGTAGCGCAGTATATATATGGAATGAATCTAACGGAGAGTGAATTACCTAGCAATATAACGGTGAGAATGTATTAGTTTATAATAATAAACAGTGAAAGATGAAAGATTGAAAATTGGAATGGAAGGAAAGTACTATCAGACACAAAAAGTTTATATTTTTTCTTAGAACTAACATCTATGTAAATCCAGTAATCTGATAATTTTAAACTATAAATGCCGTATTTTTTATTTTGTTTACCATCACTTGATCACAGTTTTCACAAAAATATATTATTTTATAAAATTTAGCCCTTTCGTGAATTTCTTAATAGAGTGTCAAAATATCGTATATTGTGTTGTAAATTGTGCAAAATATTTGTGTATTCCACAAAGGTGTTGTTGTTTCCAGGAAGTGAACCTGCATCAGATAGGGTTGGGTCGTTCGTCGGGCGAGCCGTGCGTCACGTTGTTGATCAAGTCCTTGTTCACGTGTATGTTCTGGGTGACGCTCAGACAACGCGTCCAGGAGCTGAGGGCCAGGTCCGACCAGGGGGCGCCGCTGCAGCTCACCTCCTGTTAGTAGCCTTACATACATACAAAAATTCCAATAATAATGACGTCTCTCAGCTTGCTATATCGTAAGGAATAGTGCAAAATCGCGTAACCACCATTGGATAACTCCGCCTATCTACATTGGAAGCAGTATTTCAGAAGAAAGTCGTTGACATATAAAATATTTCAGCTTAAACTTTCTTCTGATAATCTGCTTCCAATGTAAATACGCGGAATTATCCAATTAGTATTTGCACTATCCCCGACGATATGTTGGTGTTTGTTAGCAATTAAATGAAACTAATATTTTTGGAACTACGCGTATCTTATTATTTTTAAAAACTCCATACTTCTGATGTTTTAGTTACTTTGAATCGGCCGTGATCACGGACAGAGGAAATGTGAATCTCTGGTAATTGCTCTTACCAACTTGGCGGTTGGCATTGGCCCGTGATCACGGTCTTAGATCTCATTATGTTTGTTAGCGATGTTTTTCCTTCCCGAAAATTTTCTTTATCATTTCCTTATTTTTGGTTGGTTTTTGATTTTGGAGATAAGTTACAAAACATAAACAGTTTATATAGTATCCCTATTGAAGTGTAATAAATATAGTGTGTATGCTATATTATAGAATTGAGTCTAGTGTAAAGTCACCTTTATACAACATCTCATGCGTCCATCCAAATATGGTGGACCACCCTTTGGTCTAAGCTTTTGTTATGTTATGTTAAAATCTTCTGTTATTATTAAATGTGACTTTACACTAGACTTAATTGTATACTATAGCATAAACACTATATTTATTACACTTTTCTGCCCGCATTTCTTCCCCAGTGGGTTCAGAGGAGCGTCCATCTCGTCTACTCAGCATCATAGGCGACTGTCTCCGCGCCGCGTGCGCCCGCTACTGGATCTACGTTGTAGTCATCATGCTGTTCGTCATCGGCATCACCGGCGAGAGGATGACCATCTTCAGAATCATATATATGTTCCTCTTCCTAGTCTTCATACTGATGTTCCAGGTAAATGTTGGCATACTTGGCATTTTGATTTAATTTCCAATAGAAAATATTAAAGTGAAAAATATTCGACATTAATGATATCATTAACTGTAACGTAACGGAATTACGCGATAAATTTATTCAATATTTTGGTATAATGTTATTTTGTGTTTGTATAGTTGGAATAAATTATTCATGTATCAAATAACAATCCACTTACTTAGTAATATAAAAATAAAAATCCATTTATTTAGCTTTAAATAGTGTCCAATAGTGTCCAACTTCTGTAATAAACATGGTGTATGTTTCAGATAAGCTGGTACTGGTGGCGTCGCCTGATGTACGTGTTCTGGATCACAGTCATCATATACTCGATGATCAATCTCATACTGATTTACATATATCAGTTCGACAACTTCTCTAAGACTATTGAAACATATCTTCTTATCAACGAGCGACTGTAAGTTAATATAAAAATACAGTAGAAACCCGATTATCCGGCCCTTAGTTATACGGATTCGCGATTATCCGGACAACGGACTAGTCCGGACAAGAAGAAATGTCAAAGCGTAAGAGAATGGTGTTGTTGAAAGCGGCGGACGTCAAATGACAATTACCAAATATTCTATACCAAATGAAACTTATTATTTGAATTCATGATTACCAATTGCAAATTACCAAACACATTGTTATTAATTTTTTAAATAAACATGTAATATTATGAACTACATAAGCACCAAAACGGCTTTTCTTCATACATTCGATTATCCGGATTTTCGATTATCCGAATGCCTAACGATAACAATTAGTCCGGTTAATAGTTTCTACTGTATATCGAAATTAATATTTGATTTGGTACTATTGTTTTTTTTTTGTATTGCAGGCAACACGATTTAGGTCTAGAGCCATATCACCCAGCAGATTTGTTCGTGAAGCTTTTGACGCCGACTCTGTTCCTGATCATAACTATAATGCAAGTTCACTACTTCCATAAAGACTTCATGGCGCTGTCAGATCCGAAGACAAGGTTTGAATACTTATTATTTTAATAAAATAAAATATATACATACTAGCTCTCCGCCCGCAGCTTCGTCCGCGTGGAGTTCGGTTATATCTCGTTTCCAAGAGAACCTTTCAAAAGTCTGGAATAAAAACTATCCTTTGTTCTTTCTCAAGGTCAACTCTGTCTGTACCAAATTTCATTAAAATCAGTTCAGTGGTTTAGGCGTGAAAGCGTAACAGACAGATAGAGTTATTTGCATTTATAATATTAGTAGGGATATGGTATGTGTATTTTATTATGGGTATGCTATTTCAGGACGAATAGTATCGCTAAGGATCCGGGTTCGAGTAGACCGAGTCAGGGCGGCATTTCGACACAAAGAGATGATGTGAGTAAAATTAAATTAAATCTTCCATCCATATCTTAAGTCATAAAAAGAGTAATGGTTGTAACTTAATGGATCTTATGTTCTAACTAAGTTTATATTTTTCCTTTTACTACACCGTGCTATATCACAATACTAGAGTCATATTCATTTTAGAAGTATTATATAATACAGTATGTTCCCACTCACCGATTATTTCGGCTATTGTTATTCAGGTGCCCCCCCTCCCGTTGGAAGCCGGTCCTGCTGAAGCTGCTGCTACTGCTGCCGCTTCTCCTACTGGTGCTGCTGCTGCCGGTCCATCAGACGAGCGTCGTCCGAACAGCGACACCGAGCCTGACCACTCCATAGACACAGCCTCGGGCAACGCTACCGCTAGACGTTCTATCTTTAGGTTAAGAACTACAATACTTATTTTGTCTCTGATAGAGTTATTTACCCATAAAGAAAACTGGTTACCTAACCACCTAAAACTTCAAGTAGGCTCTTGTGCCAAACTCGATCATGTTTTTGCTGTATAGAGAGAGTAACTCATGTAATGTTCTCATCATTTGTTGTATAGAAACTTATCTTTAATAAATTATGTCGATTGACCGTATGACAATAATTGAACAATATTTTTTAAACTAAATACTCATATAGACTGTTCTGTTTGGAACTTATATAATACATAACAACGTTTAATCTCACGGAAGATATCATTTATTACATTATTTATCTACATAGGTTTATAACGAATATTTCTATAATATATTCCTATATATACATAATATAGCATGTTTAATACAGGAACCGTAACCGGTCGTACACCAACGCATCTGAATCCGGCGTGGTGGGTGCAGCTCGCGCCATCATCAGCCGTCGCGTGCTCACGGTGAGGCGGAACATGTCCCGGGCCGTTGACCTCGTGTTCACTCTACTCGACCTTCATCTACTCAAGATCATATTCCTCTCCCTGATGCTGCTCTGTGTCTTTAATGTTAGTTGATTTGATTCTTATCTAGAGCACCCTGTATATACCACAAGTTTGCAGCTTCACACTACATATGATGTTAAGTTTTTTTTTGATAATATCTTTGTTAATTTATGACTGAACTGAAAAAGCTACGTATGTAGTGTGACAATGCTGACTTATGATTAGTGTATATGGCTTTGCATTTACTTTTATGCGGCATAATTAATTATATAAGCCAAATCAATATTTCCCAGGTGTCAGCGATGCATGTGCCGATAATGCTGATAATATCACCAGCGCTGCTGCTGAGCGGCAGGAAGCAGCGTCTGTGTGTACTCTTCATATCGATACTTATCAGCGTGTACTTCATGGCGAAGATGGTGTATCAGATAGAATATATTAAACATTCATACTTTGATGTTAACTGTACCAGAGTAAGTATTGTTGAAAAATACAAGTATTTCACTCGCTATTTATAGTCCAATCATAACTCATAGTATATGTATATACTTAATATCAAGTATTATATTCAAGTATATTGTTTAAAATAATTTTCATAGCGTTCTGTCCTCCAAGAAACATATGATGTGTGTATAAATTTTAGACGACCGAGAACGACACCTTGAATGTGACTACATACAACAACGCTGAGTGGGTGGGCTTCCGTAAAACGTCACAGACGAAACCTTTAGTCAGTTTGCTCCAAGGATACATCGGTTTGATAGCCGTGTTCACCTTCTACTCGCTCGTCACATACAGACAGAAGAACATTAGGTACTATATACATACATAATACTATACATTTATGTTATATAAAATGATTTTTTTTTGACATTTTTTTATGTAGAAGGTTTACTCCGTTTTTTTAGAGATCTAGGCTTGATGCCGGGTCATAACGAGAAGATTATGTTCCCGGAAGTGACGCGAAAGGAGGCGGATAAGGACCTACTACACTGTTTAAAGTATTTCGTAAATTATGGCTTTTACAAATTCGGCGTCGAGGTAATTTTTTTTTATTTTTGTAATTTTTTTTAATGAGAAAGATATCTGGAATTATTTACGAATACTATATGCATTTGGTGTTACCTTTAATTTAATTGTACGCCCGTCTCCTGAAACAGTTATTATTGATATAACTCGCGATGGCGATAAATTAAATTATCTCCCAAAGCCTTACCTTTTTTTTGTCATAATGTGAAAAAACTTGGTAAAATTGTGTGGCAACCAGAAAACAGATAGGAAGATCTTCGGATCAATGCCAATGACACAATAAGGATGCCAACTACTACTTATGATCCACTATCCTCGTATAAATGAATACACAATAACAATGTCATTACCATACAGTTGTTAAAATGTAATAGAGTATAAGTAACAATATATCGTTATATATATAATTCTTCTTTGAGTGTGTATGTCACTGAACTTCTCTCAAACGACTGGACCGATTTTGATGACATTTTTTGTGTGTGTTCAAGGGGATCTGAGAATGGTTTAGATTCACAATTTTGTCCGCTGGACAATGTTTTTTTAATTAATTTTTAATTTATTAGTAGTTGTTGATACAAACTTTTTTTTTTACATTAGATTTGACAACTAACTAATATGTCAATCATTCTGTCGCACTTCAAAACACGGAGATTTATGGCTTTAATAGGTAAACTCCAAAAATAAAAATAAAAAAACGTAACAGATATTTCTTGATTATAGGGCGATACGAAGTTCGCCGGGTCTTCTAGTATTTATATATATTAGTGCCATCTATAACAATGTTTACGTCAACATAATATTTTTTTATCTGTGGTTATTTTATACGGTGAAATAAAAGTTTAGTCTGTCGCGAATCTTCACACAACTCACGATTTTAATTAAAAACTAATACATATAGTGATCCCGTGTATTTCTCTAGATGACTCTAATATGTCTGATGGGTGTGATCGGTTCCCGTATGGACGTGTACGCGGCGGTGTATGCCGGCTGGCTGCTCGTCCTGGCGGCGGCTGGTCGAGCTCGTCTGTGTTCCCTGTGGTCGTCCTTCACAGCCACAGTCACCGTGCTCGTGATGCTCCAGTACCTCATCGCTGTTGGATTCATGCCGAACTTCTGTGTCCAGTATCCATGGAGCGGGAATGATCAGGTAGGTTGTGGGGAGAGTTTAGATTGTTTGAATCAGTTCATTAACTACATCGCCACTTATCTTATAGGACATGGCAACCTTAATGGATATCAAATAGTAACAACAGTAATAGTTCCTCGGAAATCAAGAAATAATTATTTTGCTACTAACCTTATGAATATATTAAATTCCTTTAAGCTACCTTTAAAAAATGGAATTTTATAGCATATAAAACTTCTCTAAGCCACTGGAAAAACGATATTGTACATATCTTAAATTTTCATAGACCGTAGCTCTTATTGATAGCAATATTAAATAATATTTTCCTCCAGCAAATGAAGCATATCAGGACGTGGTTGTTCCTGCCCTACACGGACGAACCTCCTCACGCCGTCAAACTGGTCTTTGATTACTTCCTACTATTGTTCGCTTCCCGTCAGCTGAGAGTGTTCCGACTGGAGAAGAGTCAGGGCGACTCATACCCCGGGGGCAGCAACAGCGAGGATGTTGGCAAAGATTGGGAGACTGCTAACTTTGTGAACCCCGTACCAGACTTTTTGGGTTACGTTGGGTATGTTCAAGGCTAATTAAGTTTATATACACTAATACATTCAAATTGTATCAATAAAATATATTATACTAAAAAAAATTATTAAGTAAAAATGGCAGATCATAAATATGTATATGTCGGCGCCGAGATATATACATATGTATATGTTATAAAATCAATATTATGGCGCCATATTATGATAAAAAACGGAAATCGTGGAAGTAAAGATATAAAGAACATTTATTCACAAAAAAATTGTACTGTATGTATTTCCACAATTTGTGTTCATTATCTGAGAAAAAAATGAATAAATAAAAAGTGTATTATGTCCATGTCATAATACTACAAATCCCACAGGTCGTGGCTGGACGTCCTCAAGCGCATGATATTCCTGGGCATGCTGTGGGTGACGCTCGCCATCATGTTCATGACGGGCACCAACAGGGTCAACCTGTTCTCTATGGGATATTTAATAGGCTCCTTCATCTTCCTCTGGCAAGGAACAGACTTCTATCTACGACCGAAGGAAGCGATATTGCAATGGTAATAGTTATTATTTAATTAGGATTGATCATCATTATGTAACGACTATGAAACTCCCGTCTCTACTAAATATTTTGAATTCGTGCATGACTAAATACAAGTAGAAAATATAAATCTTTATATAATTCTTCTGTGAGTGTGTGTGTCACTGAACTTCTCTCAAACGACTGGACCGATTTTGATGAACGTTTTTGTATGTTTTAGGAAGTGTATAGATTCACAATTATGTCCGCTGGACAATGTTTTTTTAATTAATTTTTAATTTATTAGTAGTTGTTGATACAAACGTTTTTTTTGACATTAGATTTGACAACTAACTAATATGTCAATCATTCTGTCGCACTTCAAAACACGGAGATTTATGGGTTTAATAGATAAACTCCAAAAATAAAAATAAAATAACGTAACAGATATTTCTTGATTATAGGGCGATACGAAGTTCGCCGGGTCTTCTAGTAGAATATAAAAATCATTGAAACGACCTGAACATCACCAAAAGCAAATGATATTAATATTCCAGTTATTTCAGGATCGATTTTTGATCATGTCCATTATTTTCAATATGTATGTAAAACCCTTTGATCATTAAATGTTACGTTTCAGGTGGTCTTGGTTGCTTCGTTACAATGTAGCCGTGGTGGCTATCAAGGCTCTCCTACAGATCCCGGGCTGTATGTTCGCGGCGGCCATGCAGGAGCACGCCTGCTGGCTCGTGCAGCTACTAGGGATAGGATGTGTGGATAAATTCGCTGGCGGGAACATAGCGAGATTCCTCAAGATGCAGTACGAAAAGGTTATTTTTTTGTTATGATGTTGAAGGTGATTGCTATGTTAAGCCCGTAATAATAATCTAGGTATACCTGGACATTTATATAGTTCTAGGCTTTTCAATACTCCTCTAAATCCCCCGACCTGGTATTCAATGTAACTAGTAACTGTTAAGAATATTATTGTTCTTTGTTCCCTTGTTGTAATTATTTTTTTATCTGTGTTATTTTTCAGGACTCTGCTTGTTCAGTGCCACAAGAAGATATAGGTTTAGCGTGGGATGGCGTGTGTTTTGCCTTCTTGATTCTTCAAAGAAGATTATTCCACAGTTACTATTTTTATAGGGTCATAGATGAAAGCAAAGCTACCACAGTCCTAGCTTCTAGGTAACTCACAAATAAACCCTCACAAGATTCATTTCAATTGAAAAAGTAATCTTAACTTCGAATATCACGATACTTTTTATTTGTAGAGGAGCGGAGTTGATTGAAGAACTGAGACAAAAACAAATGAATGTGCAGGAAGAGCAGGAAGTCAAGATTTTAGAAAAAATTAAGGTGAAAATGGAAAGGATAAAAGCCAACCAGAAAAAAATACAAGGAGTAATGTCTAAGGAACCCGTCCATCATGATGCCGGTAATTGTAAATTCTTATTAACTATAATACAGGGTGACTGGTGAATTACTATTGATATTTGAGGACGTGATATTTGACGATCATATATGACAAAATAAAAATTAATATACCATAAATATTAATAAACTTCTAAGTAAAGTTAACCAAAAGTTATGTAATTAATTACGCATCGTATGAACACCCTACAGATTAGGTATACACACACACACACACACTCGCGCGCGGCGGCATGTTGTTGTATCAGCACGCCGCCGCACGCGTCCACACTTGGAACACTTGGAACGTGTCCACACTTTATTTATTTATACGGAAATTTGGTCAAAAATTAAGTACCTATTTTTTTTACATAATTCGAATGAGAATCATGTACCGAGTATGCTCCTTAAATATTGATAGTAATTCACCAGTCACCCTGTATATTGAGAGTTAAGAGTTAGTATTTTTATATACGATTTTGATTGTAAAATTTTGTAACAAGAATATAACCAGAAGAAATGTTATCTTTACTATTCTTTGCCATAACAACTATTCGATGTCGATGTATGGAAGTATAGTGTTTCGGTAGAAACAAAAACTGTGAATATGGTGCAATTATATTTTTGAACGTCAGTTACTTCAAATGCAATCGAATCGATAGAAGAGGAGGATGAGGAGGAGGAAGAGGAGGAGGAGGAGACCCAGCCCGGGGAGACGGAACAGATACCGCTAGTGAGGGGAGACTCGGAGGAGTCCCGCCGCGGGTACCACACGCCCACACCGGCCACCCCGCGAGGCTTCCACACTCCTATAAGCGAGCCGTCCGCCCCTCCCTCCCCTGTCCGTCATACCCTGCCCCCCTCCCTCCCCCTGGGTGCTCCCAGCTCCCAGGGCGGTCCCCCCTCCCCATCCTCGGCTCTGATGACGGTCTCGTTGGACGCATACCTCGAACCCAGACGCATATCGTTCGAGTCCCCGCCGTCATCAGAGCTGCTCCCCCGTGCTCAGTCCCCCGAGGAGTCGTATCCTGTGTTCTCCCCGCCCCCTATCCGTCGTCGTCACACAGTGGCCAGCCCCAGCCTCCTACAGCGGACCTCCATCATATCTCACTCGAGCCGAGCGGAACCGAACTCACACCATACTTGTAACTACCGTTTTTGGATTCGATCACCTTCACTACGTTGAATATACACCGATGTTGTCATTGTAAATATTGTAAAGCAAAGCAATTTAAAACTTATGTTTATTTGTAAATAGGAACCGAGACAGATTCCGGATCTAGGAGACGAGTGTTCACGAAGCGACATGAAGGTATACATTACGTGACGGTCGTGGTCTACTAATTATTTATTCCCATCTCACAATGATAACATTAAATACAAACATATTGCGCTGAAAGTGCAGTAAGGTTTCCATCATCAGGTTTTTGGTGAACGTTTCATTCGAATGTATTTCTATTTCCCGCTTCATAACCAGTTGTCCTCGTCGGGTGAAGTGGTCCATGTTAACTGTACCGTGTATGTTCGGTGTGAGTGTTGAGTTGTCTGTTTGTTCGTAGCGCGCGCGAGGCCGCCGTATAGACCGCCCGCCAGCCACCAGAAGGGTAACGTTGAGTGACATTCCTTCGAACTAACGCCTCATTACTAACGGCTTCTTTGACAACTTAGTCTATGTCGCGGGATAACATTCATTGGACTCTGTCATGTAAAAAATGTACATTTGTTATATACTCTTAGTAAAAAAAATGTACTTGCATTTAGTTCTGCTTGGTTACAACTTTCATTTGCATGTCGACTGTAATTCTGCTTGCATGTTGCCTCTTGTTTTCTTTGTTTTGTTTTGTGTTTGCCGTGTTTGCAATGTCTATGATCACCAAAATATACATTATATACATACAAATATACAGAAAATACTTAAATTTTGCTTGTACCAAATATTTTACATTAAGGGTCAGGATGTTCAATTATTTTATACATGTATATTTATTATTTATATAAAACATTACTACAGAGTCAATTCTATATGTATTGAAAAGTAGTGCATGTTTGTCTTTATATATTATTGTATATACTCTATGGGTTTAAAGTTACTGGCCTTGAAGAAATTAGTTATATGAAAATTAAGTTCATATTCATACATAACAGGTATAGTCTTGTATTAAGTTGAAAAGTTTCCATTACAAAAATGGACTATGGTGGCGTTTATGTTTAGTTCCTAAACACACCAATAGACTTAGCAGCAACCAAAGACGTTATTTCCTTCAGTCAGATGCTACTTAATTACATGAAAAAAAAAATAGATTCTTACAATAATCTTCTTTGAGGCCAGATATTAGATTTGTACACAATCTGAAATAAATATTTACACAGTACGGTGCACTGAATATCCAAAAAAAGTATGTTAATTGCTCGTAAAGTACATCGTTGTTGCATGCTTTGGTGACGTGACATCTGGAATTTATGATCTAATGCTGACTCTCTGTGTACAGCTGTCAGATCTGGAGACTACTACATGTTTGACGAGTTCGATGACACTGACATCCACTTGAAGGACGACGAATCAAGCTCGGATGAAGATGCACCCAAAGAAATGGGTTTCGGCAAGGTATGGTAGAGAAATATTTGATGTTATGGGTCTTGGTTGTATGGAAGCATGGGATTTGGAATGTTTGTAAAAAATATTATCTTTGAGATTTTTAAAAAAACCCGTTCCCTTCAAACCTGCGGTCACATAATTATAAAAGGTTTGAAGGGAATCGTTATATTTTTTGATTAACGTATGGGATGCTTACGGTGACTAACGGTAGCTTTGCAATAATGTTTACACATATCACAACACGATAGTCGATACAATTGAAATTGATTAGAAAGCCAGGATTAACAAAAATATCAACCAGTGTTTTGAAACTCGGGTTTAATCTCCGTTTAATGATTATATTGTGTGAGTATCGACAATCGTTGTATGAGCGGTGTGTCAGTTGGTGTCGGCGGTGATCAAGACGGACGTTCGGCGCGCGGTGTCGCTCCGTCGGGCTTCGATGCCGGCGGTGCGGTCGAGGCGACCCTCGCGCCCGTCCTCCGCTACTTATCCCTTCTCTTTCCCGCAACAGGTAATTAGAAAGAGACGGAGAGAAACTTTATATATGGACGAACACGTCGTTATGATAATAGTTCGTTTAACTTATTTTGCCTCACATGTTACATGAAGAACTTAATAGTATTAAGATTAAAGTGAGAGGCAGGTTTGGCATTTGTTCTGAGAAAAATTTGTTTTGTGAAGAATTTCCATTAAATTCATACCAAAATAAATGTAAATCGGTACATAATTATTATTTTTATTAAGTAAAGACGTAAAAGTAGATTTAATGGTCTTCACTCTTCATAATTGATGATAAATTCCAATTAACTTAGGATGAACAAATGCCATTAGCTATTAATATATGTGCCATTTTGCAAAGCGTTGCAAAATGGGCCTTTTTTTTCTTTAGGTTAGTAAGGTTTAGTATTTTGGTTTAAATTGTTCTGTTTCTGAAAGAATTAAAATGTTATTGGTGAAGTGATTTAAGATACAGAGGCTGTTTAATCTTTGGAGTTGAGAAAAGCATGTTACTTTTACTTTGTTTTGTTTAATTTATTACTTTGAAAAAATATTTTGGTTTTGGGTAACGTATTATATGCACGATGGTGGAGCTTTTGTGTTGGCTTATATGTATTTTGTTCATAATTTCCATATATGTTATATGTTATGATGAATTTTTATTTGACACACATATCTGAATATTGGTCTGAGTAATATTTTCATAATTAATGATTTCTTTTAATGTAAATAACTAGGCGAGTCCTCCATCTCCCCGCGCTCAGAGTGTTCGTGAGACCGATGTGGACATCCGTCTAGACTCAGACCGTGACCGGCCCGCGGTCGGCCCGGACATCGACGACTACGCCCCACCACCTGGTACTACTACAATACTATATTTCAGGGGTTAACAACCTTTTGTACATACTGTACTTGTTATTTTCTTTAATATTTCACATCCATTATATACTAAACATAGTACGTAGAATGAGATCTAAGACTTTCACTACTATCCTTCTTCTTCTACCTGGCAATTTCCCAGCTTTACCTAGGGACTGCCTTACATGTTGTGAATAGTTTTGGCTAATTGTTTTTTACGACCGGCCGCCTGCCTGATCAACTCTTTTTGGGAATGCTACTATCCATTTTATTTAATTATGCGTATTTTATTATTTTAAAAAACTATACGAGAGACATCTCGTCTGTCCGCTATTACGTTTGGTGAGAAGTAACCGAAACGTCGGGAGCATGTACAATAGTTTTTACAATAATAAAATACGCATGGTAATCCGAACAACATTAGTTTCATACGTACGTACGTACGTAGAATTTCTTTTAAATATAACTCATTACGTAGAATTCTGTTTTTTAATTTCGTAACAGTATATGCAATTTTTGTTTTAAATTGGGAATAATTCCAGGATAGATTATCGTGAATGTATTTATAATATAACTGTACATATGTATAATACGATACAATACTGTTTAAGAAACTTGGATGGACAAATTGAAAGGCTTCTTGGACACAGCGGGCGCGTTCGTGAGAAGCATTCTGGTCTCACTAACGAGACATCTGATGAAGTATTCAAGAGACTACAGATACGTGTCACGAACACTGTCCGTCGAAAAGAAAAGGCTTAAGGTATCCTTCCTCTTTATTCATACATAAAATAGCATTTCCTATGAACCAGCTCTTATTTTATATGCCACGAAATCATATCCAGACAACTTTAGTTATTCAACAAATATTCACACAAAACTACTAGATAATTGGAATAGATGGCGCTGTTATTAATATACAAATTTAATACATTTTTGAATATCATGTTACTTCTAGTTGTTTACAATAATTACTGCTTTTTGTGTCCATATATATTGCATAGGAAAATTCTTTTCAGGAAAAGGAAGGTTTCGGAATCGGTTTGAGGGAAGGTTCACAAATGATATGGGAGCCATTACCAGAGACGTTGTTACATCAGTAAGTTAATTTTACTTATAAGAATAATACATATAATTAGTGCTGTATTTAGATGTAGGTAAGGGTGCCTGGGCTTGGTAAAGTAATGGATTATATTTGGTTTTGGTATTAATCCAACCATAGAGGTTATAGTTTAAGTTAGTAGATGAGAATGTATGATCAGAGTAAAATTGTTCCTGTAGATTCTGTAGTGTATTTTTTTGCACGCTGCCTTTAATAGGGAAATGGAGAATTATAACAATCATCTGCTCGACCCCCAAGTGGATATGGGGTATGTAACTAGATATATTTATTAGACTTAAGGCATTTGCACTATTATAGAATAGTTTAGACTTAGATAGACATAGACGCTAAAACACTTAGATTTTAGATAGAGAATTTTGTTTAGTTACATAGAAAACATAGTTGCAACAGGTAGAGGGTACACATAACACGTCATACCGCCATTAATTAACCTTTGTGGTCAGCTACGAAACCGTTTTGGAACTTGACTAACATTATTTGAAAAGGGGTTTCAAAATTATATGGGAATTTCCAGCCGTAAGTTAAGCGAATTAAGCGTTCCGGAAATCCGGATCTTGGCGGCGAGTGCGGAGGGACTGGACGAGTCGCCCGACCAGTCGACCGATCGATCGACCGACTCGGACGACACGTCCGAACACGAGAGCGCGTTTAGCTTACAGACTACCGGAAGGTGGAGTGCTTCTTGTTAGAGCATGTGTTATATGATAAATATTTTCATAATGACCCAAAAAATACATTATCAGAAGTATTTTACGAATCATAACACATGGTCTAATTAAAATATGTTGTTGTTTGTTTGCGACACAATTTTGTCTCACCCCGTCGATGTTGCACAGTTTTTTTCTTTTTAATTTTCCAGTAATATTGGTAAGTATTATATTTGTATCGATGTTTATTTATATACAAAAAATACGTACTTAACTAATTTTCTTATATGCAAGCATGATTACGTGAAATGGAACTGTTATTTAAACACAAAACACGTTATACGCTTCATTTGTCAATCTATATTCAACTATTGTTATATATTTTAATATATTCTGAAGCATCTGTTTGGAGTTTGATGTTAAATGAGGTTTTATTTGTAACAGTAAGGACGTGACGACCCTAGAGGAACAAGACGACTCAATGTTTAAACAGGAGAAGTCTCCTATACTCCACCTCACATACGCGTTGTGGTACGCTATATTAGCGCACACGGACATCGTCTGTTACATCATGGTGTTTATAAACCAGGTACATTGATATAATTTATTTGGCATGTAGGCACTTTATTACTGTGAGTCTTGCAATCTTAGTATTAAGTCATATATATTTGACGAATGTTTTTGTTATCTATATATTGAAAGTAATGAAATTTTTGGTGTATATTTAGAAGATGACAAAGATATTTATTTTTCTTGTGAACATCCTCAATGTCAAATAATTAATACTATCAAATTGTCTTGTATGGCTTTTGTTATATTGACTATAAGATATTTGTGTCAAACTATTATTCGCTACGACCAAATGTGCTAAGTTTAACAATAGTTCTCAAATTTGACTTCTTTCCCATCAAACACGTTTATAATTACCATATTCAAAATCTTATCAATAGCCACCTTATTGCTGAGAATTGTTAAATAGAATATGTTCTAACAATGAAGTTTATCACTTATAATTGTTTCATTTCAGATACAATCAGCGACAATTCTCTCTATCCCACTTCCTCTTATGGTGTTTCTATGGGGAACTTTGACAATACCACGTCCGACCAAAACGTTCTGGGTCACACTCATAGCTTACACAGAGGTAGAGAAAATTAAAATAAAATCTTCAGTATTTATTATGAAGTGTTACTAATATGTTAATAATTTACAGGTGATTGTCTTGATTAAAAGCATGTTCCAATTCGAAATACTCCCGTGGAATCAGAAGGCCATACCGGCAAATATGCCGTTCACAGCGCCACGGATTATTGGTATTGAGAGGAAGTACAACTACGCCCTCTACGATCTCTTGCTGCTTCTAATTATCTTCTTACATAGGTGTGTTATTTATATTTATAATCAGATCTATATATGTACTATTTTATATATAAATAAGTATTCCCACAATACGAATTCAAAAAACGCTATTAAGAATTTTATCTTATATAATGTTACTACCTATTTTGTTTAAGGACACTACGAAAATAAGTTCTTTGAAACTGAAATATATTTCTTAGTTTTCAATTAATTAATAGGCTAAATCTAAATTCATAATACGCTTTTTGTATGTATATTTATTATAGAGCAGTTTTGGTCCTAATACGTAATATTTCCAGGTTCATGTTGAAGTCGCTCGGTCTATGGAAGGAGTCGACTCCAGAGGCTGAAGTTCGTGAGGACATGGAGTACCGACTAGGACCAGAGGATACGAGGATGTTGGTAGAGGGACGCGGAGCTGAGGTGGGGAGGAAGTATCTACATATACACGACCGACCACTACGGTGAGATCATACTATAAGTCGCGCCACGATACTATACTAGTCAATACTACTAATATTATAATTGCGAAAGTTTTTGTTTGTTACTTCTTCACGCTCAAACGGCTGAACCGATTTTGATAAAATTTTGTATGCAGGAAGCTGACGTCCAGGAATAACACATAGGCTACTTTAAATCCCGGAAATCCGCGGGTAACTCGGGGCGCAGCTAATATTACATATTACGCACCATACAAAGTACTTTTTCTTAGTTTTCGTTAAAGTGATAATTGAAATTCAATAAAAAATATTAAAAAAAATTAAATTAGTTGCTTTTATATTAAAAACAAAATTGAGAATCTACAGTGTATTTCAAGTAGGAAGTTAATTTAACAAACATAGTAATAAAGACACTAAAAATCGTCCAAAAATCAGTTGAGGAGCAGTACTTAATCACGTTATTTAAACTGTACAGCGGCCGCTAAGAGTTTGCGTTTCTGACACCTGTGAATTTTTCATGACCGCTGATGTTCAATAAATAAAAATATTTAGTAATATGTGACATTCATTATGTATTTTTATTAAATTCTGTATACGTACATTTTGTTTTCTTTTATAGTTTTTTTTTGGTCAAACATTGACATCACGACGTTTGTTTCCTTTTGCTTGTACGAAACTTTGTCATGTTACTAGTGTCATATATTTTAAAATATTAATATTTTTACCTTATATCATGTTCAGAGATTATATCAGGATTGCAAAAAAATATTATAATTCAATTATAACGGCGCCGTTTTTTGTTTCATATCACTACCTTGAAAAAAATGTGACCTTAAAAGAGTTATCTGAATTCTTTTAACCTTGTTGACATTTAAAAACTATTGCTTTTTTAATTAATAACGAAATCACCATAAATTTAGCCACCAGTTGTAACGTTACCGTTTATTCACATAGTATTTAATTTTTGAACAAAGGTTTTTAAAATTTGACTATAAATTGTACACCATTTCAACCTTACACCGTTGACTCGATTGGGAGCAGTCAGAAATATAAACTCTAAGCGGCCTGACTGTGGAAGCATTTATTTCTATTATTGCTATATTCAGCTAGCTTACAGTTTAACTGACCATATATTAAGTTCAGGGGAAACATGATTCATTTTAGATTTCTCAAAGATACTATAGATATGAAAGTTTGTGCCCGTTACTGATATATAGTTATGTATACCGTTGTCTCGGTTTTCTTAACGTTTTCTATACGGACAGACAGTATACAACATTCAGTACACGAAGTGCGTCGGGAAGACAGGAGGCCTAACGCCATCTCTCCTCCCCAAACGACGGAGTCACAACCACAAACCCAAAGCCAATCCCTTCCTCACCACCGCCTACAATCCCAACCTCTTACCGACAACCCTGACTCCCAACCCCAAAACGAAACCAGCATGATGGGGTCGATAATGAGATATCTGCGATCATACACCGACTGGGCGTATCGGTACATTACATGTAACCTATTGTATATTAGTGTAGGTAGTGAGTACTGAACTGTACCATTGATATTTTACGTAGACTATTAGTTTTCGCATAGAAATAGAACTGAGAATTCAGATATACAGATAAGAATAATAAAGTTATTTTAATGTTACAGGAGTACAGAGGATAGGATGTCCCATATGACCGGAAGAGACACAGCGGCCGCTGACCGCGCGGATAATGAACAGGAACCGGGCACCTCCAAGATGGCGGACGACGAACATTACAAGTAATATTACTTACCACATTAATAATTTTATTGAGTATTATTAATATTGTATGACACGAAATAGAAGCTAAAAATATCAGACGTATTTTTTGAAACCAGGCTGTGCTTGAATCAACGTTATATTAACCAATACACGTATATTGATAGTACCAAACAGTAAAAATGATTTTTCCGTTAAATATCTCCAATTTATTACAGAGTGAACGACGACCAAGAGCCGATCATAGCTGTGACTACGACGGTGGAGGACACATACAGTCACTACCCAGATGTTATAGTACTATCGTGAGTTATATATACATTTTGGCAGTAGCTAAGCTTAAGTTGAACGAAGATTTACTAAGATAGTAATAATATTTTTTAAGCATATAGAAAAATCAAAATTCTGATAATATAAAGAGATCTAAGATTTTCGCGAGTACTCATTAAAACGAAACTAATATTTTCGGATTTTACTACGCGTATTTATTTTTGATTGTAAATTACATACTCCCGACGTTTCGGCTACTTTTCAGCAACCGTGATCACGTGTAGACGAGATGTGCTCGTGAAAATATTAGTTTCTGCTAAGTGCTAATATTATTAATGACATATTTTGTATGGATGTATGGAATTTTATTGGTTTTTCACGCAAAAACGACTGAAAAGAACTTATTGAAATTTTCTAGTTATATGTAAATGTATGTTTGTCTTGTATCCTCAGTATGAAGCGCTACCTCCGGCCTACGATGCACTTCTTCCAGCGTATGTTGACCCCCGGCGCTCGCGTCACGGCGGATATATACGCTTACATGTTCCTATGTGACTTCTTTAACTTCCTCGTCGTTATATTCGGATTCGCCGCTTTTGGGGTGAGTTTTAATTATTTCGTTAATTGAAGTTACATTCGTTAATAGCTTTAATTACGTTAGTTATTAATATTATAATTAATTTTTATCATGTCATTTCCAACTATAAAATTTTTCCTTCTCTTTTTTTATTGTACCTACACCGCATTTTCTTATGTAATGTCTTTTATTAAAAGGGTTTCTGGTAATGATCTCTTACGAGATAAGTTATTTTTGTGCATCACATTTCTTTTACAATGCTGTAATTATTACCACTTTTTGATCCATAAAAATTTACATACTAGTCTGAGGTAATACTATAAAGGAAATTTAGTTAAATTAACAATGTTTAATGCTATCTTCTCAGACACATCAAGGTGACGGCGGTGTCCAAGCGTATTTAGAGGAGAACAAGGTCCCTATACCGTTCCTGGTGATGTTGATCCTACAGTTCGCTCTCATCGTGATAGACCGCGCGCTGTACCTGCGGAAGTTCATGTTGGGGAAAATACTGTTCCAGTATGGACTCATCATCGGCGTTCATATTTGGATGTTCTTTGTATTACCGTTCATCACTGAGAGGTAGTCAATATTCCTATATAACGAATAATTACTAAATTCTATCTCACGTCACATTAGTGACATTATGAATTTTAGATGACTTATTCTTACAATGTTTGTCAAAGAGGCAAAAACGATAACTTATATTCACGTCATACTATCTGACATCTTTATTCATTTGTTCTTGTCAGGCGTCTATATTTAATTACCCAGAACCTACCCTCTATATATTCCACTCATTATTGACACTACCGTTCTATATTTCCATACTATATCTATTTCGTGAGTCCATACCATATATATTCACCTCGTTTCATTTCCCTGCGTTATATTTAATAGCGACGTGATATTATTCCCATTATTCCAGGACCTTCAACGCCCTTCTGCCTCCTCCCATGTGGTACATGATGAAGTGCATCTACTTGTTGCTGTCCGCGTATCAGATCCGCTGCGGGTACCCTCGCCGCATCATCGGCAACTTCTTGTGCAAATCCTACCATTTCCTTAACATGATCTGCTTCAGAGGGTGAGTAATTGGCTACATTTGTTTCCGTACAGCAAATAAGAAAATATAAATTGCTAATTAATTAAGACACCTCAAGATACAGAAAAAAGAAAATGCTCATTAATTTATAACTAGGTTTCCGTCACAGCTTCGCCCTCGTAAAGTTCGGTTATGTCGCGTTTCCAAGAGAACCTTTCAAAAGTCTGGGATAAAAACTATCCTATGTTCTTTCTCAAGGTCAACTCTGTCTGTACCAAATTTCATTAAAATCAGTTCAATGGTTTACCGTAAAAGACAGACAGACAGAGTTACTTTCGCATCTATAATATTAGTAGGGATTTTTTATCAACCAAAGGGTCTAATAAGACTGGTGACCCCGCCTGGTATACCTTATACAGTATGTTCTTTGTTCGTCAGCTTCATGGCAGTACCATTCTTATTTGAGCTCCGCACATTAATGGACTGGATCTGGACGGACACCTCCATGACGCTCATGGACTGGCTCAAGATGGAGGATATATTTGCTAGTGTTTTCCTTCTTAAGGTACATTATATTTTATTACGTAATTCAATTCGTTTCTACGATCTTGCCTTCTTGCAATGTCCATAAATATTAAATCGTTTTAGAACTTTATTATTTCGATTGAATTTAAATTATTCTATAGTAATATAGATAGTTGAATGACCTTGACAAGTTATAACCGAATTACTTGACTTACAAGCTAGCAGCTAAATATTATAACATTAATATGTAGACTGATCACTAAGATATTGTTACATAAAGTGCGATATAATATCGTTCTAGGAATTTTCATTAAATATTTTCATAATTACCGCAGAATCTACTGTAAAGACGCTCAAGTAGCTGAGAAGAGTAAAATATGGAATTAATACAGCATTAATTAATATATATCAATGTACCTTCCAGTGTTCTCGTTACGTGGAGGACGAGTTCCCTCAGCCTCGCGGCGCCAAGAAGTCAGCGACCTCCAAATATCTATTGGGCGGCGGAGTGCTAGCTTTCGTCATCGCAATCATATGGTTCCCGTTGGTTTTCTTCGCTTTCGGCAACTCCGTTAGTGTCCCTTATTATCGTTATTATGTTTAATATACCGTGATCGCGACTTATAATGGTTTCTTCCAGGTCGGTCAACCGAACCCGCCAACTGATGTCACCGTTAAGATCAGAATAGGCCCCTTCCTCCCCGTGTACCAGATGTCTGCGCAGTCACATAACATCGACGTGTGAGTTTATATAGAACTTGTTATCTAATAAATATAATTTACAATTCTTACATAATAATAATATTTTTGGCCAATTCCTAACAATATTATTCGTTTCACGGAAAACCGAATCCTTGTATTTTAGGGACACTTTACAATAATATGGTTAATACATCAGAATACCATGCAAGCAATAACTATATCGATAAATCATAGTTGTTACCGCGAACTCGTTGAAAGAGTTGAATTTTGCACATAGATGGCGTCTTCATTGTCTATTTTTTAAACTCTTAAATTTCAATATAGTACACGAATACAAAGTAGACAGCAAAAACTAGTAAATTAAAATAGTACACGTATTTCAGTTACACAGAGCAAGACTACACTCAGCTGAGTAACCACTACGCCCGCGACCGTAACGCACAGACGTTCCTCTCCAACTATATGTACAACGACGTAGCGGTGGTCACCATCAACCCTAACTCTACCATGAAGTGGCAGATCTCACCACCGGAACTGGCGCGGCTGGAGCGGGAGGCTGTGTCCAGTGAGTCATGACATACATAAAAACTATTTAAATGAAATTCACATAGTCAGTGGTGGCCTAATGGTTAAAAGGCCCGCCTCTCGTTGCCGAGGACGCGGGTTCAAACCTGGCAAGTACCGATGTTATTTTTCGGCGTCATATGTACTTTCTGAGAGTATTTAGACATCACTGACATACGGTGAAGGAAAACATCGTGAGGAAACCTGGACTTATAGTTTCACAATTATAAGTTTGAAATCACCAACCCGTCTTGATTAATGCTCAAACCTTCTCCATGAGAGAAAGAAGCCTTTGGCCTGGGCTCTGATAGGCTGATGACGATGAAATTCTGAAAGATGGAAGGAAATGGATCCTCGTCTAGAATGCTCTATGGAATATATATTACATAACTTAATTAATATGATCAGTTGTATTTTCTCTTATTTATCACCGACACTAGCAATTCTATATAAATATAATATAAATTGTGTTGATTACAGACGCATCCCTGATGGTGAAGTTCACGTACGTGATAACACATCCGAGCAACAACGCGGAGAACCCTCCCACCATGGAGAGCAACAGGGAGGTGCCGCTGGACGCGTACATACACGGGGTCCGCAACACGGAGCGGGACACGCTGCTGCAGCTGCTGGCCGGCACCGCGCCCCCCGACACATGGTGTGTACGAACAGCATATGGATATAACAGCCTTGTTATATTGGACGACCTATAACACTGATACTATTAATTTTTTTTATATTTTTTTGGGAATATATACTCTTTAACTATCCAGATGACTGGTATGCATCCTCTAGTTGTACCAAAACACATATTGTGAAGAAACACAATAATAATAATATTATTAATTAGTCATGTAATATGACTGTAAAAAAATATATTTTTTAATTATAGCTTTGTAGAGATATATCTTTATTACGGTTTATTTATCAATTAAAAATGTTTTATAACAGTTATATAGATATTAATAGATGATATCATATATATTTTATTTACTTCAGGTTGAACGTGAAAACTTTATTTCCTAAGTTCGTCAAAGTGTTCAACAAGGGGACGACGAAGCCGGCGTATCAGCTGATGCCGCCGATATCCGGAACTGGTAACAACACGTTGATTATTATTTATGCAAATATATATACAATATTGTCTTCAACCAAAAGGCCACTTCACAATCATATGTACTTATAAATTATCATATTGAAAATTTTTTGAAAATTATCTTCCAAGATTCCTGTAAAATCTTATATGATTAACATAGAACTGTTCTTTTAATAATAGATAAACTTTTAGTAATATATTAATTTGTAAATGTTTGTTTTCAGAGGACGACGACGCCCGCTTCTACCGGAACGTGCAGCTGAGACTGGAACGAGAGAAAGATGTCATGTACTGGCGCGTCAGAGAAGCCTGCGAGCCAAGGGTAATATAAACTTATATATTCTAAACAAATATTGACTATTATAATATAGTGCGTTTGATTTAAGCTGAGCTTTGCATTTGTGTGAATGTACACGGATAGTGTAGGTGTGATGTCAAATTTTTGAATGCAACGTTCTTTTCTAGTTTCGAACCGGTTTATTCTGCTTTTACTTCGCCCCACACCTTCCGCACTTCACCTTTTGTACTGGTAGCAAAATTAAAAGTTGAAAACGCAATGTCAAGTGAATAAGAATTTGTATAGTTTTTTCTAAATTTTTATTAATCAATAATTTTTTTCCATAATATTCATAATATTTCCATCTGGCCGTTTACAAGTTTTGCTTATTTTCTAGCACTAATGTTATGTATCTATTTAAAATATAATAAAATTTAATTCTAAAAGTTTTTTGTCTAACTCTACTTTTACTTTCACTCACACAAATGCAAAGCTCAGCTTAAGTCTAACGAACTATACCAAGATTCCCACTTTAGAAGTGGTTATATAAAATTTGTTAATTTTTTTTTGTAGCACTCATAAGTCTTATATTCCCTATATATTTCCAGGACTTCCTCGCAGCCATCCCCATGAACAACTGTGACATGTTGGTCATGTACACTTTCAACGACAAACTGTTCCCTGAAACATTGAACTTTATATCTGGGGGAGGGTGAGTATATGAAACACATATACATACTATCTGACTGATGTTTCTTTGAAGTCACTATTGTATTTAAAATTATGAATTGTATTATACACAAATATAAGTTATTATTTATAATGTATAATAAACCAAGAATTAATCAAGAAGCCTCCAAGAACGTATTTATCTGATGTCAGAGTGTAAGTTTTATGTACTAGATGTAGTCTGACGACTTCCTACCCCCCAAAAACACAATTATATTATATTGTCAATTAATAATAATGTATATGATACTATACTCGTCCTCCATAGTATAATCGGTCTGTACACGACGTTCGTGTTCCTGGCGTCGCGGGTGCTGCGCGGGTTCTTCTCCGGGATCTACACCAAGATCATGTTCGACGACCTGCCCAACGTGGACCGCGTGCTGCAGCTGTGTCTCGACATATACCTGGTAAACACTATAACACTACTAGCTGCGCCCCTCGGTGTTACCCGCGCATTTCCGGGATATAAAGTAGCCTATGTGTCATTCCTGGACGTCAGCTTCCTGTATACAAAATTTTATCAAAATCGCTTCAGCCGTTTGAGCGTTGAGTAACAAACATACAAACACTCACAAACTTTCGCAATTATAATATTAGTAGGATACAGTCGTTGTTAGAAATTAATTTTATTAATTTTGATGTATTCCAACTGTCTGTGAATTATTAAGTGTCTAACAATATAGGAACGTTGAGCGAACACTTGAATTCAAATAGTAAATATATAAAAAATCATTTGATTCCTATTAGACGTCAGCTGGAATCTTAACGGTGTATTCTGGAATTTGCGGAAACAAATCCTATACTTTTGACTTTTATTTTATGCTGTTTTATCGAACCGTTTATATTTTACTCATATTCAATACGTTTCGATCATTTTTTTTATCATTTTACAATATTAATGTTCTATGGAATTTCTCTGGAAATGGAAAATTAAAAATGGAATATTTTAAATCGACTAACGCTAATACACATTATATAAAATTGTACAACAGGTACGAGAGGCGTTGGAATTGTCTCTGGAAGAGGATCTGTTCGCGAAGTTGGTGTTCCTGTATCGATCACCGGAGACTATGATAAAGTGGAGTCGACCCAAGGAAGACGAACAAGAACAAAGGGCACTGCCGGCGCCGCAGTGACAAACTACACAAACATCACAGACAACGAATCAATGTCACAGATAATAATAATAAAACAATTATTACTTATTTAAATATATATATCAGAGACATATATCAATTATCATAAGTAAACTGAAAATAAGTAACTTTAGTTTCTTACTTTCACATCTGTAAAGTCATCTGTAAAAGCCGTCCAGAAGCATTTATACATAGTTATATACCGTACAAATCTGTGACATGTTTATGTATCGAAGATTTATCTTTTGTTCAAGGATATTCTATAGATAATTAAGTTGTACAGTAATGAAATTGTTAGGTTAATTAAGAATAAACCTAAGTGTTAGATGAAGCGACTGTCTGTGGTCCTTCATCAATATGATAGATGATAATTGATGTTATTTAAAATGTATTTTTTATATTACCGTAGCATCTCCAGCACTATTGCCTCGGACCAGCACTTAGTACACAAATAATGGATTCGTACTTAAATATATCTCTACCAATCTTTATCTTTCCAAAAAATGTTTATGCTCTCTAAATCTTCTCTTCTAAGCAGAATGTACTTTTTTACTTTATCATTATTATTCAGCTTAGTCGATAGGATTATGACATTTTTGCCAAAATCACATTTCCACTGAAGATCTATGACACTTGAAAAATAGATTAAAAATCAATTGTCTTGTCTTAGAATATTTAATCACTTTACTCTATACAAATGTTTTCATTTATATTGCTTTACTATCTGAAACACTTCTTAATCAAGTCGATATGAATTTTTAACGAAATCAAATGTGTTTGATTATATACTTTGTATTTAAAACTGTTTATATTTAAATGTACATTAACAATATGTGAATACTCAACAATATAACTAGACTGAGTGGTGCAATCAATGTTTCAAAGTAAATCTGAGGATTGTTAACGCACATAGCATTTATTTTGTTGTATATAAAGGAGATTTATCAGAGAAAATATATATCATGTTGTTATTTAAAATCAATATTTATTAAATGCATTAAAATGAACCTTAATATATGTGATCTTGTTGTTTTTTTGATAATTTCAAAGTATAATTTATTCACTTCAAGGACTATTGTGTACATTTTGTATTGTGATAAATATTATAATAAAAATCTTATAAATGTTCCAAGTATTTTATTTAATGTTATACAATTACAATTTTTCTTAATTAATTTACAACCATAAGTCTAGGTGCAATGTTCATTGACATAAGTTCTTGGAACAACAACTTAGCAGCGTAAGGCAGCCTTACTTGAGAGATTTGTGTTTTATTTTTACATCCCTTGCATTCGAATGTATTGTTACGAAGGTTGGCTATTGCTATCAAGCCACAGAAATTGCAAACGTGTATGCGGTAAGGATCTGAAACCTCGAACAACCGCTCTCTCAAGAACTGAGCGGCTCCGTGAGCTATCTGACAATCACGCTCCATTTCTCCGAAACGCAACCCACCGTCTCGAGCCCTACCCTCCATGGGCTGTCGAACTAAAATCTGTACCGGTCCTCTGGCTCTAGAGTGAATTTTGTCGTCCACCATATGCTTCAAACGTTGATAGTACGTGGGACCCAAGAACACTTGGGCATTGATCTTTCTGCCAGTGTGACCATTATACATCACTTCATTACCTCTAAGATGATAACCATATTCTTGTAGGAGTGAAGAAATCTTTTGCACGTTTACAGCGTCGTTGAATGGGGTTGCGTCACCTATTTCGCCTTTGTTCGATGATACTTTTCCCTGAATACATTCAATCAAGTGACCAATTGTCATACGGGATGGGATAGCGTGTGGGTTAATAATAATGTCTGGAGTGATCCCCTCACAAGTGAAGGGCATGTCTTCTTGCCTGTATTGGATTCCACAGGTTCCTTTTTGTCCGTGCCGTGAGGCGAACTTATCTCCAATCTGTGGAATGCGCACTGATCTAACCCTAATTTTGCAGAACTTATATCCTTCGCTATTCAACGTTAACATAACTTGATCGACAATTCCTGTTTCACTGTTACGTAAAAATGTCGAAGCGTCTCTTTTCGTGAAGCGTTTCGTAGTGCCTTCCAACTCATCGTCATTTTCAGGTAATGTAATTGTTTTTCCAATCACCACATCATCTCCGGAAACTCTTATACCAGGAGCAATAATACCGTCTTCATCTAATTTGTCATACAAAGCATTTCTCATCCCTTGACACGTCTGTCTTGTTGGTTTTTCAAATTGCTCTTCTTGATCACCGATTCTCTTAGATTCCGAGTCTTTATAAGAACGATAAAACACAGATCTGAAGAACCCTCTCTCTACAGCTGAAGCGTTTAAGATGACACTGTCTTCTTGATTATATCCAGTGTAACATAAAATGGCTACAATTGAATTGATTCCAGCTGGCAACTCTCTAAAGCGAAGATATTCCATAGATCTGGTAGTAACCAAGGGTTTATGTGGATAGAACAGAACATGAGCTAATGTGTCCATTCTAACATGGAAGTTTGTGATATATACTCCCATAGCTTGTTTGCCCATAGCACTTTGATAAGTATTTCTTGGACTTTGATTATGATCTGGGAATGGAATAATTGATGCACATACACCTAATATCATAGCTGGGTGAATCTCACAATGAGTGTATGTAGTACAATAAGCATATTCTTTTATTTGTTGTAAATCATCAGGATTCATAGCAATCATGACAGTTTCTTCTTCCAGAGTGTCAATATATTCAACAACACCACTGGCTACCAAGTTCTGCCAACCGTAATTATTATAATCTCTTTCTTTTAATTGATCAATATGTTTTTTCTTCAGTAGCAAAGATCCATTCTCAACAATAAGTAATGGTCTGCAAATTCTTCCAGCATCAGTATAAATTCTTATTTCTCTGTCTCTTATGTCTCGGATCATACTTACTTCTGAGACAATAATGTCCATTTGACGTCTAAGTTTACGCAATGTTGCCATTAACTGCTCTGGATCTCTGTGTATACCAACCCAACAGCCGTTAACGAAAATTTTCGTAGCATCCGCAATAGCTGACGGAGCAATTTCCTCCAAATTTTCCATAGACCACTCTTCCAAGAACTCTAATATGGGAGACGGCTGACTTCCGACAGAAATGTAAGCCATTAACGCCAAGTTCTTGACCAAACCGACAGCAGCTCCTTCTGGTGTTTCAGCAGGACAAATCATTCCCCACAAAGTATTGTGTAACTGACGCGGTTTTGCTAGTTTACCATCACGACCAATCGGAGAGTTTACACGCCTTAGATGAGATAAAGTAGAGGCAAAGGTTAATCTGTTCAATACCTGTGATACTCCTGCTCTTGCCTGATGAGCTTTCTTTTGGTCACCCCAATTTCCAGTAGCCAAGGAATATCTCAAACCATCGGTAATAATCTTTGTTTTTATAGCCAATTCCAGATTAAAATCTTTTCCTTTGTCAATGAATTTCTGAGCGTACATTCTTACTTCCTTTAACAAATTCTTGAAGAGTCCTCTGAACAGAAATGCTAATAATGGACCAGCTAAATCAAGTCGTTTATTTCCATAATGATCTCTGTCATCCAATTCTCTTCTACCCAAAGCAGCCAAAAGTAATCTGTGTACCATATAACCCAGGAAGTATGCTTTTTTTGTTTCACAAAAATCAGATACACCAACATGAGGCAACATTTCCTTTTGCAAAATTTCTCTTGCATATTTGATACGCCTCTCTTTAGTAACACCAGGACGGGCTCCTCTGGCACCAATGAAGCTAAGAGCGACATTTTGTTCTTGAATAACAAAAGCTTCATCCAAAGACGGCTTCACCATTTCCATCATTTCAGGGTCATCAAAATCATAAATGATATGTTCTAGGATATCTCTGTCTGCCACAAAACCCAGTGCTCTAAATACTATCATAATAGGAATTTCCTGTTTGATATAAGGAACAATAGCCACAATCCTCTGGCCGATTGCCGACTTTTTAATACTCTGTCCTCCTCTTGCCATCATATTAACCCACAGTGTAGATGTAGGCCTCGAGCTATGTTCAAGGCAAGATCTAATCTCAGTTTTATAAGCATATTTACCACCCTGCATACTGAAAACATACACAGTATTTGTAGCCATTTTTTCTTGAGCAATTAGCACCTTCTCAGAGCCATTGATAATAAAATAACCACCAGGGTCTAAAGGACATTCATTTAACTCAGTCAAATCACGGTCAGTCAAATTGCTCAGTAAACAATATGTAGACCTGAGCATAATTGGAATTTTTCCAATAAATGTTTTTTGATGTTGCGTCTCAATAGGATCTTCGTTTTCTTTAACTATGGTTTTTGTGATATCAACATACAGCGGTGCGGAGTAAGTTAGATTACGTAGCCGAGCTTCATTAGGCATCATAGGGGATGGCGCTCCGTCTTTTTCCCAATGAGTTGGTTTAGAGAGATAAATTTGGTCAAATTTCAAATGATATTTTGGCGGTGTCTCTATTTCACCGGAGGAATGTTGAGCTTCAGCTTGCAGTTCTATAGGAGGGGAATCTTCAACAATGCGTTGGACTGACATTTGTATGAATTCATCGAAACTATCGAGTTGCTGCCTTACGAGACCTTTCTCATCGAAATATGCGTTTATAACTATCCAGCAGGCTTCTTGCCATAATTCAGACGAAATATCTTCGACTTCTTCTTCCTCATACTGATCATCTTCTGTATCATACATAGTGGAAGCTTATAACTGTATTTATGCTTAGATACTTATTAATGATTATTATATTCTTGACACAAATACTAATATGGCGCAACAAGCACACGGCATCAAACAGCCGATGCTAACCAATGCGATACAATTATTATACCCTATTTGACAAGTGATGTCAGAAGCAACAGATTGAAAATCTTAATTTATAGTTCACAGAAAGCACATTACAAAATCAAAACGCATCAAATATAAGGTAAAGTTACATCACTACCTTTAATTACTAAGGATTTATTTTAAAAATTCAATGTTAAGTCTTAAACCTTTTATATAAATACATTTCTTTTTATAAAATTGAAAATAACAAAATGAAATAATTTAAAATAACATTTTACTACTATCATAATATATGTGATTTTTTTGTCACTTCAAATTATTATTATGTTTTGAACATTTAATTGACCAAGAAACAGTAAAACGTGAAATTATATTTAAAAGATTTTGTTTTAAAATGGTCGAATGAAATCGTTTCTTTTATGATAAATAGTATTTAAAAATTATGTATTTTTACTGTATAGAATTTCCTGGCAACAAGATGTTGATCTATAATAATACATCACTAATTTTGTTTTTTGGTCTTTTTTTTCTTTCGATGTTTTGAGGTTTACATTAGATCACAATTATGAATCATTTATGTTTTTTATGTAATTTCCAAAACTTTTCGCACGATAATTAAATCTTCGTCAACTATGGACTCTTCAAGAAGAAATAATTCTGAGGAGCAAAGGTGTATACTGGGTTTGCAAGATTTGAAATTATCTAACAAAGACGAAAATGATACTGAGCAAGCGCAAAGTACTTCAACATCTTACATTACTGGTCAATCAAAGTCTCGACCTGTGGGTGCGATAGAGAGCTTTACTTTAGATAATTCGGCAAATCGTCAGGATTATAGTTTCTACGAACGGTCCAATGTTATCGCAGCTTCAAAATTTGCAACCCCTAAGCGGGTAGAAACTATCGCGTCGATCAATAAACGGGACATAAACACTACTGCGCTCCCAGCTAGTCCAACAAGATCTATAGATTCCGTATCTCAGAGGTCATTGAGCTACCAAAGTGAGGATTTATACGAGATCCCAGGCAATACGACTGCTCAGTATCCTCAACCAGTGTATGAAAATATAGATTATTATACGGAACAACAGTTGTCCCAGCCGCCCTATTATCACCAACTGTATCAGAGCCAGCCTCTCGCGGCCGAAGGCTACTACGACACACGGTACAGCAAAGCGCAGCCACAAGTGCCAGTAAATAGTAAACCAAAGCCATTGGTGTATGAAAATATGCTTTGTCCTGACAAAGATAAGAAAGTCGATTATAAAATGCAGGGTAATGTAGATCAACCATATATACAACAAGGCTCTGTTCCTGGCCCACAGGTCCCAAATACTAGCATGAATAGGATGACTTCCCAAAGGATTCTTAGGGATAAACCTAAAGTTGAGAAGGCTCCACCCCCACCACCATATAACAATTCAAATGATAACTCCAGCAGCAGTGACTACACAATTATGAAGTCTGCTCCTCCTAAGTATATGGATGTCAGTGCTCTGATAAAAAATACTAACTCAGTAAGTTTTGACAATAAAGCTGTGACAATTCCTTCAACTGCCATCTATGCTTCAATCGCTCCAAGTGCTCAGAGACCCAAGGCAAATATTGCTACAGAAGTGCAAGTCGCAGCGGCTGCAACTGCTCCAAAATATTTTCACACAAAGCCACCTATTGGTAATGGTCTAGGTAAAGTTAAAGTGACGGCCATCAACGGAAGCTATGGTACAACACCAAAACTACTGCCTAACAGAATGCAGATTGTAGAAGACACTAATGGTTCTGATTATGTTTGTATGACCGGTGGCTCCCCAGCTACAACTACCGCCTCTGCTAATAAGGACAATGTCTCCTTAGCATCGGAATCAATTTCATCTAGAAACTTAGTATCAGGATTAACATCTTTGTGTTCACCGGCTCCATCCCCCGCACCGAGTCCTACCCCTAGTTCAGTATCTCAAGTTTCCGGTGGATCTCGAGGCTCTGGAGGCAGAGGGAAAAGTTTACTACCTTATAGTATTACCCCACCCCGCCCGCCAGGACCTAGTGAAGCTCAACGTAAAATTGAAGAGCTGACACGGCAACTTGAAGAAGAAATGGAAAGGCAAGACGAGGAAGGGGAATATTTTGGTAAATATTATATTAATTATGAAACATACTACCTATGTATTTTAGTTATAATTGCATGTACAGCAAATTATGCCTGTAGTAATAATTATTTCTGTGTAAGGTATCTGCCATACTTGTGGGGCTGGTGTGACGGGTGCCGGCCAGGCTTGCCAGGCTATGGGCAACCTTTACCACACCAACTGTTTCATATGCTGTTCTTGTGGAAGAGCCTTACGTGGCAAGGCCTTTTATAATGTACACGGCAAAGTGTACTGTGAAGAGGATTATCTGGTTAGCGATACAAATGTATACATATTATTATTTTTTTTGTTTAAATAAGCTTCCAATTAGATATATTAGATTTCTGAAATATTTCAATCTTTTTAATGCTTGTGATTCTTCTGCCTTGATTGATATGTTTTGTTTGGTTCTAAAACTATTTGTTGCCTCTAATAATTCCTAATAAAATATTATTTCCAGTACTCAGGATTCCAGCAAACAGCTGAGAAATGTGCAATATGTGGACATTTAATAATGGAAATGGTAATAATGTTCATATGTATTAAAACCTAGTTCTTGTTGTTAAACAAGAATTTTAATACAATACAGTCAATATTATTACAGATCCTTCAAGCAATGGGCAAGTCCTACCATCCCGGATGTTTCCGTTGTTGTATTTGTAACGAGTGTTTGGATGGAGTACCTTTCACTGTTGATGTTGACAATAAGATTTATTGTGTGAATGATTACCATCGAATGTTTGCACCTAAATGTGCTAGCTGTGGAAAAGGTGAGCAATGTTGGATTCTTAAACAGTCTCTCAATCTTTGTTAGAAAATAATCTGTTAAATATAAATATTCCACTGCAATAACATATATAACTGTTTTAATAAATGTATATTTGTAACATGCCATGGCAAATAATTTTCTTTCATGGCAAAATAAGTGATTTAGTGTACATCATAGCTTGAATTTTAAAGATTTATATTTAATATTGTTGGAAATTATTTATTCAAAAATATTATAGAAAGTAAAAGGAATGAAATATATATGCTTCACAGAAATAAAATATAATGAATTATATTTTTTTCTTAACTATTTTTTACTTCCAAAACCATACCAAAAAATAATATACAGCTGCGTGCAAAAGTATTAGGCACCCCTATTGTTAGTAACTATCTCATTAGATAGCGGTCAAGTGTGTGTTTTATGGTTTAGCTATTGTATTAGCGGCAATTTTTAACCAAATTAAGATAAAAGAAAATATTTATGACATCCAGGTGTGCTCCTAAGCGGTGTTTCTTCGAATTTGCTTTTTTTGCGTTTCGGGTTATAGTGTGTTATAAGTGCTTGCAGTGAACATACACGTCTTCTACGCAACTATTTCTATCACAATTCTAAAGACTAACATTTAACGTGTTAATCATGCCGAAAAAATCTGAACTTAGTGCTGAACAGCGTCTAAGAATTAAGATTTTACATGAACAAGGCATGTCTCAGGTTAAAATAGCCCAAGAAGTGAAGTGCTCGCGATGTGCAGTTCAATATGCTATCAATCGCTTCAAAGAGACTGGCACCCATGAAAATAGACCAAGAACAGGCAGAAGAAAAGTTACTACTGAACGGGAAGATCGATTGTTGATTAGGCAGTCTCTACAAAACAGGAAAAAAACTGCTTTAGAGCTCGCTGCAGCATTATCTGAGGCAAAAGGTAGCTCAGTGAGTGTTTATACTGTGAGAAGAAGGCTTCTTAAAGCTGGATTAAAAGAATGTAAAGCAAGGAAGAAGCCGTGGCTGTCAGAACACAATAAGAAAAATCGGTTGGAGTGGGCACTCAAACATAGAGATTGGTCAGTGGAAGATTGGTCCAACATACTGTGGTCAGACGAATCTAACTTTGAGGTATTGTTATTTATTTTATGTACAATATTAAAACACATAAATGTTTTTAAAATAACGTACTGCAAGAAAAATAATAACTTTGAAAATAAATGTTTTTTTTCGTTTGGCATAGGTGTTTGGAACACCCGGTGTGACTTATGTTAGGCGAAGGGTTGGCGAAGAATACAACCCAGAATGTGTGATTCCCACTGTTAAGCATGGTGGAGGCTCAATAATGATCTGGGGCTGCATGGCTGCCGACGGAGTGGGCGAAGTGGTGTTGTGTGAGGGACGAATGAATAGTGTTAAATACACTGAAGTTCTGGAAACAGCACTAGCAACGTCGATAACGCAAATTTTCGGTGAAACAAACACCGATGGCTTGAAATTTCAGCAAGACAACGCCACTTGCCACAAGTCCGCGCATACCATGAAGTGGTTTACTGAAAATCATATTGATCTTTTGGACTGGCCACCACAATCACCAGACCTCAACCCGATTGAGCATATTTGGTCCATTTTAAAGAAAAATATCCGCAGGCACTCGATTAGCAATAAACAAGCTCTATTGGCCGCGTTACAGCAGGAATGGAAAAATATATCAAGAGAAGAATTTTTCAGGCTGGTAGAGTCAATGCCAAAAAGAGTGGCTGCGGTTATTAAGTCAAAAGGTAGACCTACAAAATATTACATAATTATTTTCTTAAAATAAACCATTGTAATCATAAATGCAGTTTTATTTACACTCGCTATGCTAAAACACCCTAAAACTTGTCTTACTGTAGGGTGCCTAATACTTTTGCCCGTGGCTGTAGTTTTACAACCACATGAAAATCTCCTTAAAATACATAACACATACAAATATCATTGTTGATTGTAAAAGAACAATTCAAGACCATTCCTTGATACAAAACATTAATAACATTGATTATATTTTAGGTATAACTCCAGTAGAAGGCACTGATGAAACAGTACGAGTTGTGTCTATGGACCGCGATTTCCATGTTGACTGTTACATGTGTTGTGTTTGCGGCATGCAGCTCACAGACGAGCCCGACAAGAGATGCTATCCACTAGCTGGTAAATCTTCTATTTTCTTCTTCTATATATATAAAAATGAATTGCTGTTCGTTAGTCTCGCTAAAACTCGAGAACGGATTTATCTTATCTTAGCCTTGAAATGTTCGTGGAGGTTCAGGGAAGGTTTAAAAGCTGAAAATAATTGATTCATTTCCGGGAAAACCCTAAAAACAGCGCTTTTCTGTTTCTCATACAAACGTTTTTTTTTGACATTAGATTGGGCAACTAACTAATATGTCGCACTTCATGTAACGGAGATTTATAGCTTAAAGATAAACTCCAAAAAAATAAATAAGAAATTATTTATTTCTCGATTGAGGCAGTACGAAGTCTGCCGAGTCAGCTAGTTATTATTATAAATACAATATACAACCTTCTTTCATGTATATATTGGTAGGCATATACTCAGTAATATTACAAATAGATGATGTTTGAATTTCAATAATAAATAATAACAAAAAGGTAATTGTGAAAATACTTTTGAGTTGATGATAAAATATTTTAGTTATATTTGTTAATATTAAAAAATAATTATTTCTATTTGGGACAAAAACTTGTAAAATATCAGTTTTTAAGTTAATATGATAATTCTTTATCAGTATACTAGATGGCGGTTTTACTTATAAGAAAGTGAGATACACTTAAGTGCAGGTTAAATAACTTTTTGTATACATTTCATCAGGTCAATTGATGTGTCGAGCCTGTCATCTGTCCACCATAGGAGCGTCAACAGGTCCCGGCATGCCACCAGCACCACATCTCTCACCAGCCTCATACGAGGGCTGCTATATATATTTCTGGCCTAGGCAACACTAAGTGTTGCCAGGTGCAATCTGGCATTTCCATTGGAAAGTTTGACATTTTTTAGCATAAATGTACTCAGAACTTTTTGACTTACGACAATTTTTTTTTTCTTTTACAAGTACTTGAAGAAATCAATTTGGCAAAAAAATGGAATTAACTCGTGAACATTTTCGTGCGATCATTTTTCACAACTTTCGACGTGGATTATCACGACAAGAGTGCATCGATGAACTTAAATCTTTGTAGGCGACGAAGCACCATCCTATAGCACTGTGAAAAACTGGTACAACGAATTCAATCGTGGCCGACGCTCGCTCAAAGACGAATTCCGTGAAGGTCGTCCAAAAACAGCCGTTGTGCCAGAAAACATCGATGCCGTACGTGAACTGATAATGCAAGACCGTCATGTGACTTACCGTGAGATAGAGGCATGCCTAGGCATTTCTCCCACCAGCATACATTCGATATTGCATGAACACCTGGCCGTAAAAAAGGTTTGTTCTCGTTGGATCCCGCACAATTTGACAATCGCTCAAAAGAAAGCTCGTGTGGATTGGTGTAAAGAAATGCTGAAAAAATATGATCGCGGTGCTTCAAAAGACGTTTATAAGATCGTCACAGGTGACGAATCATGGATCTATGCGTATGAGCCCGAAACAAAACAGCAATCGACCGTGTGGGTCTTCCAAGACGAGCCAAATCCAACGAAAGTTGTTCGTGGAAGAAGCACTTCGAAGCAAATGGTCGCCTGTTTCTTCGGCAAAACTGGTCATGTGGCGACTGTTCCGCTTGAGCAACGTAGGACGGTCAATTCTGAGTGGTATACCACCATTTGTTTGCCTGAAGTCTTCGGAGAAATTCGAAAAATGAACAAGAGAAGACGAATCATTGTGCACCATGACAATGCGAGCTCTCACACATCGGCTCAAACCAGCGCCTTTTTGACCGGCCAAAACGTCGAAGTGATGGGTCATCCGCCGTACAGCCCTGACTTGGCACCCAATGACTTCTTTTTATTCCCACACATCAAGAAAAAAATGCGTGGACAACGATTTTCGTCGCCAGAAGATGCTGTTGAAGCATTCAAAAACCATGTTTTGGAGGTGTCTCAATCGGAGTGGAAAAAGTGCTTCGAAAATTGGTTCGAGCGCATGCAAAAGTGTATAAATCTTGATGGAGAATATTTTGAAAAACAATAAAACCATTTTCGTTGATAAATATTCGTATTTTCATTATTAGGCCAGAAATATATATAGCAGCCCTCGTATCAATACATGGGATAGAATTATCATGGGATCACCCAATATTAGATTGCATTTCATATTACAACTAATGTATTCAATAGTTCAAATAACTTTTTAGACTGTAGCTAGTAGTCAAGGGACATTGTGATAGTAAAAATGTGTCAGTAAGTGAAATATTGTGCATATAAAAATTTGTATTGATTAATTTTATATGTAATCAAAAATCATGTGCTCATTTTGCTCATCAGTGATTTTAACAGCTGTGTAGGTTATAGGTAGGATGTGGTATTGAAGAAATTTATTAAATATGTTGAATTTTGGGATTGTTAAACTAAAATATATTAAGTATGAAGTGATAATTACATGTTAGATATTCAAATGTTAAATTTTTAAGCCTTTTGCCTACAAACTTTGTGATATATTTGGTTTTATATTGTTGTAGATCAGTGCATGAATTTGAAAAGAACATTCACAGCATGAACAGGCTCAAATTGAATTATTTTTTTATAAAAGACACAGTATTATGTGAACAAAATATTATTAAGCATTACTACTGTCACATAGTAAATAACTTTCTTGCATTTATTACTTTTATATTATTCATAATGTGGCAGCACATCTGGGTTGATAAATGTATAATTTAAGTAAGCTTGTATTTGTAGTTATGAATTAAGAATATTTTTAAACATTCCGGTGTTGTGCTGTCCTAATGTGTAGGGTGTACTTAATATAGTGTTAGATAATATCTGTACATTTTGACTGTGGAAATGTTTATTCATAATAATTAAAAATAAGAAAACACTTGTCAAAAGTGACCTTGTATTTATATATTTTTTAACAATAAATAATGACAAAAATTGTATAAATATATTTTACTCCCTCTGCTAATAATTTACTATTTAAATCATTAAGGAAACACATAAAGGACAAAAAGTTTCAGCAACTTTGAATGGGATATCTTAATAAAGCTTTACAAAAAAATCTTCTACATTTTCTTCACTTTATTTTTCATATTACGCATTTCTGTTTTATACCTTCTCATTTCATCCATTACTTGGGTCTTTTTCTCTTGTAACTGAGTTTGATAGTGCTGTTTGCTTTCATTAAATCGGTCCTGAATATTATCTTTTCGCTCTTGAATCATTTCCTTTAGTCTTTCTCTTGAAGGGACCGGCTTTATCCAGCCTATTGCTGTTAACCTTTTGATGGCATATGTGGTACCACCTAAAAAATGTTGGGAAATAAATACTCAATGAATTATAATGATTATTAATTAAAATTACAATTTTACTCACCAACAGTAACAGCATATCTTAATGGAGTTACTAGTTTATATAATGCTAGGGCCAGTGCAAAGTAACCAGCAGATGATTCTTTTAAAGGTGTTAATAATTTGTCACTAATACCAATAGACTCCAGCAACCCGATCACATCCACACCACTGAAAGTAAATTTTAAATAGTGACAATGTATACTTATGATTTAATTTCTTCATAGTAATTAACTTAATTTGTAGTTGGAAAGTTAATGGTAGGTTGTAATTTTAAATGAAAAAATACAAAAGGCATTGTAAACAATAACATAAAATAAAAAATTGCAACAAAGATTTATTAGATTACATCATCTTAGAGTATATGTATACTTATTAATATTATGCATAGGTATTGATGCTAATCAATTTCTCACCTTCTAACACAGTAGTAGAAACCTCCAAACCATAAAGCTGATGTCGTCATGTGCACAGGTAACACTACATACCAGTAGTCTTTATACATTTGTTTAAATCGCTGTATAATACCTGGTTTCTTTTCAGGTTCCTTGGAAGCCTTGTTTGAGTCTGTACTGCATTTCGTGGAACATAATCTATATGATTTCAATATAGGTTGACATTCCGTTCTTATCAGTATAGGTTTCACTAAAATATAATTATAATTTCGTAAACCACTGCAGGATCTTCTTATTGGAAAGCTTCGGTTTATATTCCATTTTACCGGCTTGGTTATGTTTTCAATAAGATTGTTTTTCATCAAAATTCTTAGACTGAGAGCCATTTTAGATTCAAATATTTTATTCGTTTACTATAAAACGTTTAAAATCATATTTGTTAAACTAAAATTATTGTTTCACAACTATAAAATCTGATTGAGTGACTTTTGTGGAAATGACAATTTTGTTGTCAGATGTCAATTATCATTTGAATTTGATAACTGTTACTGACAGTTATAGTTCGTTCGGAAAGATAACTCGTCATTCTATTTCGATCGTTAAAATTCTGATAGAACAAATAATAATTATATTTTCGTGCACCAATAAGATATATAATAAAAAAAATTATGTTGCTCTATAAATGCGGTAATATCAACATATAGGATAAGGAATTGATTTTTATTAAAAATATAAAGTACGGAAACAGAATTAGAGAGATATTGAAATCTAAGGAAAATATTTAAAATAATAATCTTGATTCAATTTGATCAAAGTCTTTTATCAATATTTAATGGTATATAATATGATCGCCACAGAGACTAGAATACACGTAGTATTAAATATTTTTAATTCTAATAAAAAGACGGCTATTAAAGATTAGATTATTGAGTAAAAATCATATTAATAGTTTAACATTAAAGCTACTTAGGTTGTCATTCAGCACAGACTCTGCAGACCTACGAAGGGTAAAAAGTTTCGAAAGTAGGTAAGTATTATACATTGGTGTATAAATTGACTAATTTCCTGTGTTTATTTACGTATTCGTATTTTTTTAACTATATTGCTACAGAATTGAATTGATTTGACTAGATGTCTTGACATGTCATTAAATTTGATGTTTTTCAACAATTTTATTTTTTAACTTGTAGATACCTAACTTGAACTTTTGTTTCTTTTTCAAAATATAATAAAAACCCTAACCTCTGCACCAGGATCCGAAATTGATCTAGTTGAGAAGGAATCGACTATTAAAAAAGTAATAATTACTTTTTGGAGTAAACATTAAACCAACGGCTTTTAAATATTTATTGACCGTTAGCGTTTAAGTTCACGTCTCTTTTGGGAGCGGTCTGCACACTTGTTACTAGTAGTTATCATTGGACGTGCAATAATATGTTAAATATATCAAACAATTGAAATGTTATTAATAAAGTCTATATAGAGATTTTTTTTAGTCACCTATAACCTCTAAAGGTCTAACAGAGTTTGAGTTTGAGTTTTGGAGTTTGAATCAAATTGAGTTCACATTTTTATTAAGATTTTTATCTATTAACAGACATAAAATTGATAAATAACTGAATTACATACGAGATAGAAATTATAAATATAAATAGCATAAGATATGTTTAGAGTGTGCCAAATCGATAAAATAACTACCATACATATGTAGCGATAGGAGCAGCAAATTAAATGAAAGTTTCAACATTATAATATCTCTGGTGATGGTGGAAACAATATCTTCTAGCTGTAGTGAATTCTAATGCTTATCTTGTTTCCTGTTGTATCAATACGCAAGCTTTACGTGGAACTTTTCATAGATACAATTTAGCCGGCGGGAAAAATGACAGTGATGTAGATGTCTCAGAAAATTTAAATAAATAAGCTATTAGCACAAATAATGTCTGACTTCAAACATTAATAAATACCTACACGATTATTTCTCATGTTATAAAAAAAGATTTTTGTTTAATTATTTATAAACTAGTCGGTCCTAGTAACCTTAATTTTACTTTCACTTTAACTTTTCCTTTCACTGTCAATGGAAAAAATAAAAATTAGATCATTGTATATACATAAATTTAATGCCTTCTATAGACTTAAAGTGAAGTCTATTTTATTGACAACAATATATTCTGGAGTTAAAAAATAATTTGACAAAGATGTATATAAAATATTTGTATAATTAATTAACGCATTTAATATTTCGTCATGACTTTCTTTGAAAAAAGTTCTTTATAGACAGATGGAATAGTAGCAAAATGTTAATCGATTTTTGTGATACAAAACAAAAGAATGTTAAAAGATATTTTTATTACCTTATTACTTAAAAATTGCTTAAAGAGAACCCTTATACAAAAGAAATGCATTTAGTATCCTTACTAGTCCTTATCAGTTAATTTTTTTAATCAGTTAATAAATTACAGTCTTATTTAAAGTTAACGTTTACCTAAATTATATCCTTTAAATCATATGAAAAGTCATAAAAAATGGGAAAAATCTTTTTATATTAAAAACGTTAGCAATCATTTGTTTTGCTGATAGATCGATGATAATACATTTGTTACACTTTTTGTTTTTGTACTTATTACCTATTTCTAATATTTATTATAAATCATCTATATAAGTATCACAGAAGTTTCAGTAACTTTAATATAACTATTTAATTCTAGTGAGTTACAAACAATTTGCTATTGGCAGTAACAGTACAACTTGAGTGTTGTGTCCTGAATACAGTGACTCTGATTGCCGTATAGATTAAATCGACTAATAGATCCAGCTACTAACCATTCATTATCAATAACACGAAGAGTTCCTTCAAACAGACCGTTTCCTGGGACAGTTTTCACCATAACCATGAACTCTCTCCAGGTAACTGAATCGTAGCCGAAGGAGTTCGGTTCCATCTCAACAACCTCAATCAGCTCAGCTAGTTTTAGTTTAGCGCACTGCTCATATTCGCTTACGAGATTATTGAGCTGTTGTACTAATTGATCAGCAACTTCTTTACCAAGTTTGCTCTTAGTTGAGATTTTATGACTCTTCTGACAGCTGCACCAGTGGTCACTGATGTGAGCGGACGAACAAGTGCGACTTAATGGTATAGGTAGAAATAAACTGTTTCCTTTAACATTGTTTTCATTCCGATTTGAGCGTAACACGATTTTGTCATTTTCGATGTTATCTAAATTAACAAGATCGGATAACATGGCATGAATATCGTAAGGCGTACTCAGGCGTTTACTGTTTAATTGAAGGTTATTGTAAGCTTCTTTGTATTTCTCCTTAAAGTCTTCTGGTATCAATATGTATGCAAAAGGTAAGCGTTCTTCCAACCGTCCTTGATTTGTTGACCTTATTTGACCGTATCGAATTCCGTGGTCGCTTATCAAAATAAGTATTGTTTCATTCCAATAATTTATAGAATCCAATCGTGTTAGAAAATTTACGTAATCTTCATCCATTATCATTGGATAGTTTAAATAATCGTGAGTCATAGTAACTTCCCAAAAGAAAGCAAATAGTTTAGATGTTCTCAGTGATATAGCTAGATTTTCTATGTAATCTAATAAGACCTTATAGAAATACTTATCATTCATACATAAATATGAATTAAAATCCTTATTAACTCCTGCGTTTTCTTCAGCCTCATTCATAAAAGTATGTAAGTAGTAGTCCGTGGGAGATCCAATAAAACCAAATTTTCCATAATTGAAGGTTCCCAGGCTGGCACTGTCTTCTCCCAGCGCTGTATAGTAACCAGCTTCTTTGAACCATTCCCAAATAAAGGGGCAGTTATCAAATGTTGATTTTTTACGAGGAGTACACGTGGACTTTAGATCTTGTTCCGATAAACCCATCAGCATCGGTATCAAATTAGGAAAAGAGTTGTCACCGACTTTGTTGTATCCTAATAACTCCACACCACCTTTCTTCTCTAAGAATGCAAAAGTTTTTGGCATTGTTCTATGAAAATTAAGTCTGGATACACCATCTATACCCATTATAATAACATTATATGCGGTTTTGTTTTTTGGAATCTCGGTCTCATCAGATGAAAGTTCTTTTTTGGGAGCAAAAATGAAAAACTGGTCGTAAATTTCCACTGATCTAACATAACATTTTACTCGAACAAATTCATGAGCTGCTTTAATTGAGGTAGTAAAATTAAAACAAACGTTATATTTCACTCGTTTGTCAACATCTCGTGATGTAATGTCTTCAACCGAGAGAGGCCGGTAAAATGATTTATAGCAACATTTTAAAAAGACAGATTTGCTTATATTATAATATTGCCTGTTTTCATGTTTTATCCATATGTGTGTTCTGTTGTTAGACAACAAAGCTATATCAGACATTGGACACGGTTTTATATCTATCGGGAATTTCACCAACTGTCTCACTTCACTACCTAAAGGCTGTAAAGCAGATATGATGCATCCATTTGTTCTGATTGTGTACATTTCATCGCTTAAGATCTCACCGGAATCCTTTTTTCCTAATCGCGAGAATATTAAGAAATCATTGTTAACATATGGCTTTGACATGTTATTCATTGAGAGCAAGAGGAAGGATCCACAAAATATAATGGCCACGAGAAACAAATGTCGAAGACGAATCGACATTTGATTTGGTTTTGTAATACTGCTGCAACCAGCACCTCCCGCAGTCCACGCCATACTGAAAACATATATTTTAAATATCAGATATAGTATGTTGAAAATAGGACAATTTTGCACGCCATTTTGAAGAAAAATGTAAATATAATTGTACAACCATAACATTGATTAAATTTTACATAAAATAACGAAAAAAATAATAACTTAAACGGAATACAGATATGGTATAGTGGTATAACATTATTTTGCATTATTTTTTTATTTAGTTATTTGTATCTTCGAATGTAATGAAGCAGAAAATGACGACTGTGAGAGCATCTAAAATATAAAACACATACACACATAAACATTTACTACATCATCACTCTTGAAATTTACAATAATTTTCACAGTTACTTTAATATTTAATGTTAAATCACTAATAGAATTGTTTGCTTCTAATTTTCTGGTGATGGTGAGGATTATGAGGCTATGGGTCTTGGTTACAATTAATATCAATATGAATTATGGTTAATTTCGAAGCTTATCTAACCCTTGTGGTAATATGATGTTGTATCTAAATGTAGGAACTAATAGCAATTTATCTTATCTTCGAATTTTTTTTGGAAGTAAATGGACGTGGAAATAAAAATTTGTTCTAATTGTGATAGATTGTTACATTTATAAGCTTTGTTAAAGAAAGTGGAGATTATATTTAATAAAATATAATATCTTAAAAAAAGGTCTTAACTAGTCAACAAGATTTTTGTGAAAATATTAGTTTATTGATTATTCAGTTGGTATGCTGGAGAGTATCTATTGATCTCTTATATAAAATTAATAAGACAACCATCCTTTTTCAAATGTAAATTTTTGTTTTAATAATTTATACAAATAAATATATTTAGGTATAGAAGGTAAATTGATTTTTGTTTTCAGTTTTTAAGAACGTTAATTTACGAGAAATAGATCGATAAGTTCCCTACATTAAAAAGTGTTTAATACTTTTTTTCGATCTAACTTTAACTTCCAGTAATTTGGGCATTTAATAGAAAGTATAAAAATCCTTAAACAATATATTGTGTAGTGTAATAATTTTGAGTAAATTCTTTTTATCTAATAAAAAATAAGTATTTAAAATAAACAATTTTATTATTCTTCTACTTATTTAGTAATATTTAACATAAAAAGATAGATTTCCTACAAATAACATTTAATAATTTCATATTGTTAATGCGTCTAATACAGTTGTCTAAGTAAAAGCATCATTAGTATATACTTAATATACCCTCTATAAAAGTAAACAATGTGTGATGATTTGGAAGAAACGTTATTAATCCGATATGTATTCGTTGATATAAACGTTACAGACTTAAAAAACTATGTCCTTTTAATATTAATTAAATATACAACAAAAATATTCACTAGCGACTAGTATGCATCAACGTCTAATATAATTTCATATAATAATATCCAAAGGTACTAGATATTTAAGATTATCAACTAATGTTAAAAGCGTTTAGTCTAAGCTCCGCGATTCTACAAAAATATTCACTTAAAATATTAATATCAAATAAATAGAAAATATAGTTACATTGTAGAAGTTTATAGAATCATTAAAAAGTGTAAACATTAAAATCAATTTCTACAAAAGTAAAATTAATTTAATATAATTTTTTTATTATTTAAAAGAATGACTCTCTGTATATGACGTATAATGTATACATAATAAATATCACAGATTTGAATCTAAATGACTTAATATCTAGCGACAGAAACAATATAATTTAAGCTGATAATGATGTATACAGTGGCCCTGCTGTCCGTACAGGTTCAGACGGCTGACTGTTCCTGCGAGAGACCAGGTCTGACCATCCTGACGAAGAGTTGCTTCGAACACAGCATCACCAGGGGATGTCCGTATTACAACTAAAAATTCTCTCCAACCTTCTTCTTTCTCATACGGAGTGCCTGATATGATTTCCGTCACCTCTATCAATTCTTCGAGCATTAAGTGAGCGCATCGATAATATCCCTTTAGTTGTTGGTTTATTAAAGTCAATAAATTATCAGCAGCGTCGTATGCTTCCGCGCTAAAGATTGGTATCTTTCGTCCTCTCCGACATGTACACCAGTGATCGTCTATACCCGCTGTGGTGCAAGTACGGTTGCTCAGGATAGGCATAAATAAACTTATAGCTCTGTCATTACCGTAAGACGTTTCGCTTCTCAATTTCAAGTTTTCATTACTTATTCCATCCATATGTAAAAGATCTATTAAAGTTGCATATATATCGAACGGTGTAGTAAGACGATTGCTGTTTAGTTTGATATTATTGTAAGCTAAAGAATAGTTCGCTCTAAACGACTCGGGTAGTAAAATATGCAAGAGTGGTAGTCTCTCCTCCAACCTCCCCTGTTTCGTATATCGTATATCACCCCAACGTATTCCATGATCACTTAGAATTATTAAAATTGTGTCGTCCAAATAGCGTGCGTCGTCTAAATTCTTCAAAAATATTTCATATTCTTCATCCATCGCCATAGGATAGTTTAAATAGTCATGACTCATTGTGACTTCCCAAAAGAATCCAAAGAGTTTGGAATTACGTAAAGACATTGTCAAATTTTCTATGTAATCTAATAAAACTTTGTAAAAGTATTTATTTCCCATACATATATAGGAGTTGAAATCTCTGTTATTACCAGTATACAGCTCAGCTTCATGCATGAATGTATGCAAATAGTAATCGGTTGGAGTTCGACTGAAACCGACCTTTTCAAAGTTAAATGTTCCTAAACTGGAAGTGTCCTCACCAAACGCTGTGTAGTAACCGACGCTTTTAAATAAATCCCATATAAAAGGACAATTATCGAAAGTAGCTCTTACATGCGGCCAGCAAGCCTTCTTTAAATCTGTGTCTTTCATTCCAAGAAGAATAGGCGACAGATTAGGAAAAGTATTATCACCCACTTTGTTATAACCATAAAATTCTATAGCACCTTTCTTTTTCAGATACGCCAACGTCTTCGGCATTGTTCTATGAAAATTCAATCTTGAGAGCGCATCAATGCCCATTATAATAACGTTGTAGGCTGTCTGATTTCGAATCACATCGATATAGTCACCTTTTAAAGATAAAAGTTGTTTCTTGGGTGTAAAGATAAAAAATTGCTCGTATATTAAAACATCTTTGTAACCACAGGACACTCTGACGAATTCGTTCATGACTTCAATGTAGTCTGAAAATTCTATACATGCTTCGTAATTAACTCTATCGTCGATATCTGATGAAGTTATATCAGCAATAGCCAGTGGACGGTAGAAGGATCTGTAGCAGCAGATTATGTTTTGATTTTTAGGTATCTCATAAAATTGCAGATGCTCAGTTTTTACCCAGATATGTGTGTTATTATAATCAAGAAGTGTTACGTTGAAATTGCGACATGGTTTAATTATTGGATGCTCAATAAACTTCTTGATATCTTCAGCAAAAGGTTTCAAACCGGGGATAGTGCATCCTTCTGTTTTGATTGTGAATGTACCGTCTATATCATCATGATTGTATCTCTGTAGTTTCCACATGGAATCGCTGCCATTATTTACGATAAGATTTAAACCATTGTTCATAAACAGGAATAGGAAACCGCTGCCAAATATTACTGCGAACGTTAATAAGTAACGCATTCTGTGATATGTATGTTCCTTCTAACTATTTATGAAGACGATTAATTCTGCAAAAACAAAAATAAAATCCATTAAAAAATACTTTTAACATTTGATTGATTTTATTCAAAAGTTATATATTGTATACAAATACTTAAGATATTGTAGATATTTATTCTATTAGATATCAAGCTAAATAGTTAAATAAAATAATAAGACTTTGTTAATCATCGTATAAATATAACAAATTAAAAAAAAAAACTGAGAATGCGTCAAAAGTAAAATGCAACTGTTACTCACCTCAATGCATAGCTCATTTCATAACTCTCAAAATAATTTAAGTGACGTTGTTCATTGTAATCCATTGAAGATATTTTTCATATAATTTATATTTGTATATATATGTATTTAAAACCTTTCAATTGTCTTAATGTAACAAACAGAAAATAAAACAACACTTCGCGTATTACATTGAGAGGCTCCGAACGAACGCATGTCAGTAAGAACTATGCGCTCCGGAGGTTTCAGGGTCGGAAGCTGTATTGAGCATGCGCTCAACAGAACCAGCTTAACTCTGTTACGTGAAATATAAATACCATTTAGGTAATATATTTGATGCAAGTTATATAAATAGATTATGTCGATAATCAATATTTGATATGACATAAATTATTATTATTATTTAATTATGATTTGAATATTGAAATATTGTTCTAAAGATTACAAATATATTTATAAAATGCAATCATTTAATCTCCATTCGAAATAAATTTATTAGTCACGAAGGTTGTATAATGGATTCAACGTCTGAATATCACGACAACTGATGGATTAAGCTCTACATTGTATTAACTCGCGTGTTCAGATTTCGCTAGATGTAAAATTATTAACTCAGTTATAATATTTATTTCTCCTTAAGTTTTAATATCCAGTTGTGATGCATTATTTATTTTTATACCTATATTTGTATTAGTTAATAGCTGGATACCCTTTTTTTATAGTAAACAACATTAAATACAATATATTATTTTTTGAACAATAAATCTGGAACCAAATTAAAGAATACGAACCTGATATAAAATTCAGAGCACTTCTTCTAAGAAAGTTACAGTAACAAATGGTTTTAAACGAAGTTTAGATTTTGTTATCAAACACCCGATTGTTTAAATCGTTAATTGCTTGTAGTGCTTTGTTAGTTGGTTTAAATTGTTCAACTTTTGTCAAAATTCAAAACCATTTCATGTCGTAATCGTAATATGTATAATATTATGTGCTCTACGTGTTTTTTTTAGTGAAAAGTCTAATAACAAGGGAGATTCATCTCTTCAAATATTTAATGTTCCCTGATGATTTGTTAAGTTTTCTTTCAGTTTTTAGTTCTGTAATTAAATATTATTAATAAACTATTTTATACTTTGTTATAACAGAGTATAAAATAGTTTATTATTAAACCAAACCCTAGCCTGACAATGAAATTCTGAGATAAATTCAATAAAAAAGAAATTAATCGTAGATCATTGGGACGACCAGTTAACACTTTTGACGATAATAGGTACATATTAAGGCTACTGGTGGAAATCCTGCTCACATATCATGTTTAGTAAAAATTACTTTTCATAGATGCCACTTATATTTCAATTCAATTATAATTTTATTTATAAACTTTTTGATGATAACAAATAATGTATAAGTTATTTAGAATAAAAGATTTCAATTTTAAAATCTGGTCCTGTAATTTTCATCCGATATTTAAGTACCTACGTGATATATAAAAATGTATTTATATATTTGTCAGACTCTGTTAGAGTAATCTTTGAATTGGTTGATACTTTCTTCATGTAACGTTTCTGAAATGCAATCGTATTGTAGGACTAATATCTCCCATAACATCACGCTAGGCAAAAGAAAAAGTAGGAGGAAAGTCGCGGTGGATAACTAGATTTTTTATATAAAATATGAATATCGGCCTGATATTTAGACAGCAGTGCAGGTTGTGTGGACCACCCTGACCCTCGAGGCCTCAAGTAAATTAATTTTAATTTATGAACACTCGTGGTATCCCCGAGGGGTATGACAGGGTGTACGCATGCGCCGTTTGACTTAACCCACTGACAGACCCCGGAGTTATTCTTCTGTAAACTAACGTCCAGTTTTATTTGATACATATTTACAAGTTTTATTTTAAGCAAATTTTAACATATATTTGGCTAATAAAAGATATGAATGAGGACCACGTCGTTTACACTCGAGGTAAGACCGGCATTTAGTATTTTTAAGGTTAAACTGTGACGAAAAATCGATAATTGAAAAACATGAGCATAACCAATAAGTATACTAGTGCATTTAGATATTGGATGGATTTTTTATAGTGCTCAGGTAATGAATTATCACTTTTTAATTCGTCTGAGTAAAGATATGTATGTACATAAAAAAGTATATGTTAAAAGTATACATAGGTATATTATAAAAAAGTGAATGATGGTGAATCTTATGGTTTTATTAGATTTATAAGTTATAGTAGTTACTTTAAAATTTTACTTACTTCTGATGTAATATTCATAACTTTCAGGTTTTGGTCCTACTTTTTCTCAACCTGATCCCTTGGCCGGGACCATCAGTCTTCAAAATCACGTGTTCTCGTGACAACTCAAAAATCGTAAGAAAAGTTATAGAAAACAAGTGGTTACCTGTGTTGGAAAGGTTTCAGGTAAAACATTTCGTGACATATTCTTCTTTGTTTGATATCCTTTAACTTACTTTCAATACAAATAGTGTAGCTATTTAACAAACACTTCACATTTCTTCGCTGTTTCGAAACTTGAGTATGAAGGTTTTTTACTAAAATATTTGTTACCTATGGCAATTGACCAATTGAAGTATTAAAATTTTTACACGCAAAGGCAAGTGCCTTGGTATGTTAATAAGTCTATAAAAACTGTGGTTTTATGTATACGGCTATTGGTATTTATTATTAAAAATAAAGAAAATGTGAATCATTATTGCAAATCTTTCAAACTTTTTCAACCTTAGTGAGGTTTTAAAAATAAATTGCGAAAAAGTAGAATTACAATTGTACGGTTTGAACGGTTTTGAAAGGCAGACAGGTTTATCCCATTTTAATAATGTTCTTGAGCAATTAAATTCCTTAAGTTTTCTGTTTGGTTAAATCTTTGAAATGTGATGTTTGTCATTACCCCAAACAAATATGTACAGGCCAACAAACTCATAATGTCAAATTCTCTGTTTTTATTCTTCTAAGTATTGTTATTCTGCAGGTAAAACTGCCGTTGGAATGTCCATTTCATCCGGCTCGAGATATCTTTGCGCCACAGCACGCCGCCAAGCAACAACATCGCTCTTCCCAATGGACATGCGCCTTCTGCGGCAAGTCTTTCTACGAGGAGAGACATCTCGACACTCACTTCGATCAGCGACACAGGCACCAGATTAATAAGGTGATGAAAGTATCAGAGATCAAATATCCTTTGGTAAAATATCGAAAGGAAAGATTGTTTAACTTAAAGTTTAAAATCGGTGTATGGTATTTAGAATTAAATGTAATCATCATTACTACAATCAATTAATTTACTTTTCTAGGGGTAAATTTGAAAATAATCAAAGTTTTACCTCTCCTAGCCCGACTATACCCCATCCGTGATCCTATATAACAAACAAAATCCATTCACCGATTTAATTTACATAAGGCAATATACTAAATATCTTAATGACAATAACACTAATTTATTCCCAAGGCGGAAGACGCAGTATGTCTTGCGGACTACTGCGATATAATGCGCTGCCAGGTTCTGGTTGCGCATGGTCTGCTGAGCCGGGGCAGCGGACCCGTCACTGAAGTTGAGCTGTGGCAGGACGCAGAGGTCGCCAAGAAGGCCCTAGCCCCGGCCGCCACGAGAAGTGTTGCGAGAGTTACCAACAGAAGAAGACATCGAACTCGCCCTCCCACTACCGTTGCGGACTGCCCTAAATCGGATCACGACAGTGAGACAGGTAATATATGTAGTATAAAATATGAAATGTTTTTGAATATAACATTTGTTTCATGTTTATAACTATTACATAAAAATTGTAAATAGAATATTTTACATAACACTGATAACTCTTATTGCGTTTAGGTACACATACTCCTGCTATAGAAACCGAAGACAAGAAAAGAGAAGAGAATGAAGGAGACACGAATCAAACAGCAGAATTGTGTGACGTTGACACGGTAGAATCTTCTCTACCGCCAGACAGTCGTCAGAAGAGGTTGGCAGATTTACAGGCAGAACGAGCTGCCTGTGATCCAACGCACTTGCAAGGGCTTAAGGTGATCACGCATTCTGATTATACAAGAGACAATCTTCCACGTTTATGTACATAAATAAGTTTATGTTTTAGGTCCGCTGTGAAAGGGTCGTGCATTCCTGCATAGCAACATTATTATTGCACCTAACGCAGCATCAGTTTTCAGAACTTGAAGGTATATTATCATAAGTTTTCTAAGAATTTATTTTATTTATATTTTATTTAAATACTTTTTATTGCACACCAATATAGACAAAAATAATAGGAGTAAAATAATGAAAAGAAAAATGTACAATAGGCGGCCTTATCGCTAAAACAGCGATCTCTTCCATTTTATATATCAAAGAATATGCTTTGTTTTTTAATTAAGAGTAGATATTTTATTTCGTAGAACTCAAGTATTACGTACAAACTCTAGATGAAAGTCTTCTTTGATGGTAATTTCTATACGTTGGTAATTTAAAATTGATTCAAGAAGCCATGCCTGATTGTGTAACTTTCATAATGTGAATCTACCCACAGAGGAGATGCAGCGTGCGGTATGTTGGTATTTAAGCTGTGATCGTTACTGGGAGGACACAGCGCCGGCCGCGAGAGCCTTTCCCTGGCCCCTACTCCTAGCTCTGGCAACAGGCTTAGCACTCGCGCTCTGCATGTGCTACTACATCATATGGATCGTCTTCGAGTGAGTTACTTAAGCTTAATATCGAATATATATTTTTGTAATGTGATTCGCCTTCCATTTTGTAGGTATTACAATAATGCTGAACACACCATATTGATTAGATATGAAAGTAGAACGTAAATTCCCAAAAAGAGGGTTGATGTCAGGCAGGCAGCCGGTCGTAAAAAACAATTAGCCAAAACTATTCACAACATGTAAGGCAGACCCTGGCCAATGGCCATACCCGGGAAATTGCCAGGTAGAAGAAGATGAAAGTAGAACGTAAAATAAAATGGTTTATTTCAATCCTCAGTTCGGAAGAAGGTAGTATAGCTGGTAGTGGTTCGGTGTCAATGACGACCCACTCGTCGCCAGCTCGCGGCGCTGATGATAGCTTGTTGGATGAGGATCATGACCACGATCACGACGACCACTACATATATGTGACTTACCCGCCGGAACTGAAGCGTCGGCTGCTCGAGAGGTACGCCAGAAACCATCTCACACTTATCATACTCTCGCCGTATATCAGACAAACCAGGGTCGATTAACTTCTGTATAATCCATTAAAAGCTTCATATATATAGAATGAAATAGACAGTAATGTTTAAGTTACAAATAACTATTAGTAGAATTTATTACGTCTAATGTTATGCGATAAGCAATAGCTGAGATTCCTTTTAGTTTTGACGTAGAATGAAATATTTGCATAAGAATTCCAGAAATTAAATTGATTTATTAATAAAAATAATTTTGAAGTATCCAGTGAATGCTCCTTTTAGTGTTTCGTTATTAATAAACGTGTAATTAATTTACTAATAATGTGTGTAATTGTTTTAGCTGCTACAATAGAACAACCCGACTTTGAAGCACTTTCGTCATCCCATCGTGCATGTCTCCTAGACTTATATTAGAAGTCATGACAGTCTGATGTAGCCAAAGTACTAACTATCCGACAATATTCTGTACCTTATAATGAATAATCCAAATTCTATATAATAATAAATTTATCTATTATGTAAAGTTATTATGCGATATTTAAAGAAATTAATGTTAATTTATATCTAAAACTGAATCGAATTAAAACGTCCTTCTCTAGCAATAGTATCTCGTAGTTTTAATGTAACACATTCATAAAATGATCCTTAATATAAGGTACAGAGTGATTGATTTTGAAATTCACGATATAAAGCACTTATAATTTTTATAGATTACCAATATGATAATAGTTTTAAGATTTTAAAGTTACTTTTAATTTAGATAAACTTTAAATAATTAGAAGTAGTTCGCTTAAAACATTGGTGCCTATTTTTTTATATTTACAAATAAGTCATTTGGTCTTAAATTGTTAATATAAGCTTACCAGTACATGAACAGATCCCGCTGTGCTATGTTTGAAAAATAACTTAGTAGATATAATACCTAATAATTTTTTGTGAATGTCAAATGATTCATAAGCAATCTTAGTATTGTCTTAAATTTAGTTTTAAAGGACTTTTATTCATTTTTTTTTTCAAAATATTGTTAATTTAAACAACGACAAATTCTCATTATAATGTTACGTATGTAATTATGTCGTATTTCTTTTTTCATTTTATTCATAGTTTTATTAAAAAAATTAAAATCTATTAAGTGTAGATGATATTAAAGAATTTATTTATGGTTGCAAAAAAGGTAGGTTACAAGTTAAAAGCAAACGACCTTAGAATTAAACGGTATACGTTTAGTGAAATATTTTAATTACGAGATAATAATTTAGTCAACAACCAGTCTTCTAAGATATTATTTGCAAGTGTTTTGGTGAAACGTGATAGTTACATATTTATTGTCAACGTCGCACAAATTATAAATCATTATTTAAGTCTAAGCCAGAATTGTTATTGTTTTTTTATTTAGAAAAATATGTTGGGCTTGTCTTTGGCCATTTTTGTGAGTTACTTTGTGTAGTTCGCATATAAATCATTAATAAATGGGACCCGAATTGTTTAACATTTAGTTATTCCATGTGAGCTTAAGACATCCGCTGAATAAGAGGTTTCCGAAATTGCTTCAATGAGACTGAAGTGAGTCGAGATTAGATCGAGTAATTTAGCAGTACTGTCGTCTTAAATCAAAAATATAATGGTTTTCATATATAATTACATATATTCATCAACTTTATTGTTATAGAATACTCCCGCCATTATTATTTTTCAAGCGACAGTACTCTCTATTACGCCGTACAGTAGGTACATTATTGTATAGAGTTAATTCTTTATCTTCACCAAGAATGTATTTCACGCGCACTGTTGATTTTTGTTTATAATGTATTATAAGGATGTTTGTTAAATAAAGCTCTCTAAAACGTTTTCTTATTCATTTAATCCACAATTATGTACAAAAGCAGTCTTTGTTTCATATTAAATAATATATCAGTGTATAAACATGTGTTAGACAAAGACATTTCGCTTTGTATAAATAGTAACGGCCGTTGTCACTATCTTCTTCTTCCTGGCAATTTCCCAGCTTTAGCCAGGGTCTGCCTGTCACTATCTTCAGACGTATTTGACACCTTTCCATATTGAATTCCCTTCTATGACGCATTTGCAGCCGCATCCCGTGGGGCATGTGTCGTGTTGTGAGAACCTGCATAAATAATTTATACTAAAAAATAATATTTTTCATATAAAAAATTGCCCTATCTAATCTTTATATATAATTTGAAATCTATATCTAATTAATTACGACCTTGTGTCTATTAACGCCTGACCCCTGACGCTTTTGTCATAGCAACAACATATCTCAATTTCTCCATAGAAAGACTAATATTAATAGTAACGCCAGGGGTCGCCGGTTCTTCTCAGGTCAGGGTATTTTGTTTTCCGAACCGGTGGTAGTGTCTCAAGTGACCATCAATAAGAAAGTGTAATGCCTATACTGAATAAAGTTATTTGAGTTTGAGTTCATAGTATACCATGCTAGCATGTGATGTGCGTGAGCGGCGTGTGAGCACAGTCCACAGGCGAGCACGAGGCCCTTCACACCCCGCGAGCACACGCCACACCGCAGACTGAGCCGCCGACACGAACTACACGCGGGGCCTCGCACTGTGCGCCCACACCACGCGCATTCCCACGCCGCCTCGCCCACCACGCCCACACCGCTCATAGTGCCCATACCGCCCATCACTGTCTCTGGGTATGTGCGCACTAGCTTCATCACCTGGTAAAAATATTGTACGTTACATAATACAACAACGATTGTTTCGTAAAACTTTGTTAGTTGGTTAGATACATATATTCATACAAAATATGAAGCTTTCATACGCATTTCAGAAACCTTCAAGTATTGCAAAATTAATATTAATTTGAATACATCATTAAACATCGATGTGACGAGAGATTACATTAAACCAAATGAAGACTACAATGAATAACATGACATAATATGAACTAATAAACACTTATGTAGTGCATTAGAAAAAAATAGCAAGTATTTTTTAGCATATACAATTTTTTCTATTAACGCACACTACAGTAAAAGCACTCTTAATAATGACCTCAGTCCGTTTGTACAAGAGCTGCCATCTATGCAACACATCAGCATACGCCCTCTTGAAGCAGTGGTACAAGTGAGCAGTTGACTTGTCTATAACACAAGCTGTGGAAGGCTCGGACTTGGTGCCGCTGTACTCTGTGTTCAAGTTCTCTGCTTCAGAACACGAATTACTTCGCAGTATAATGGGTAGCGTCCAGCCGTCAGCGCTTATTTCGCTGTATTGGTTTATTGTACTGTAAGGTGAAGTACTGTTGCCCTGGAAGATACATTACATATAGATTAAATTATATTATTATATAAAAATAATGTATATTTCTATTGTATAATATTTACACAGCTAGAACTGCTGATTGTAGACACGGAACTCGAGATATTCGTGTCGTTGAAGACGGAGAACGCGCACGTCAACATAGCCGCTGTTTGCAGGTCCGATGATTTTGCATAATGTGTTATTCTGGTAAATAAATAAAATATATCAAATAAAAGGTAAATATTAAAGTATTTAATCATTCTTTGATCAACAGAAGCCATGTAAAGAATACTTAACTTTTTGTAGCTTGATATTTAAAGGGAAGTTCTTTAGAATTTACAGCAAAATGAAATAGGAGAGTGCTTCCCCTTAAATCTTTGTATTGACTTTGACTTATTAATAAAAATCTTAATACACTCACAGCGCCTGTACCAGGTTGCAGCACAGCGGGTGTCCGGTCCACCCCATACTCTCTTCACTGGACACTATGTGGTCCACCGTCCTCGCGTCTAACGACCGAGCAGCCAGTCCCGCCAGACCCCACGCATGAGCTAGCTCCAATTCTCCCTCCTCCGTCGCAACTTTTGCATTCTTTTCACACATGTCTAGGAAGAAAAGAACGAATGAATGAATGCTAAACGATTGATCATCGGGTTCGTCCCATCAGAGCCACCCACCCCTCTCGGTGACGCTGTGAAAGCCATTAGGGCTAACAACTTTAGTCAATTCGAAACAAAAAACGATTGATCAATATTCAATTTCAAATGCCTCCTTACTGATTAATGGTGATTCAAATATTTGGTAAAAAGAAGTTATGCATCTTTTAAAGTGTTTTAATAAAATTAAGATTTAAAAATAACTTCATCTAATGATAATAATCTAATCTAATATTAGATTTAAAAACATTTTCTCAATACTACTCTATTACAATCAACTGCAAAAAGTTTATTTCGAATATATGTAGATGAAATCATCTGACATCCTATTTTCTGCATTAAGTGCTTGTCCTAAATATTCAACAGTACATGAACCGACTAACCAACAGGGTTATCAGCGTTGATGACGTATCTCTCTGCGAGGGTTCTGTTGAGAGGGAATAGGTCGCTGGCAGCGTAGAGCAGCACGCGCGGCGCCAGGCAGCCTGAGATGCTGCCGCGACTACGCATGCTGCCCGCACGACGACTTTGAGCCTTCTAATGGCGGAGAAATATGTAATAACCAATGTTATACAAGCTGAAACTTGATATTATATTATAAGAGCATTTTTATATTAAATTGGCATAAATAGCTCATGGATGAAAATCATGTTAGCAGAGTAATGTACCCAAAATATCGGATAGCATTACAGAGTAGGTTGTTATTCAGAGGCATACACACTCACCCAACGATCTTGGAAGTAGAAGGTTGTGATTGAATTGGACGCGTGTCTGTGATGTAGCTGTGGGAATCCTGAAGCGTTCGTCGGTGAGGGCGTGGTGGTCGCGTGAGGGGAAACGGAAGTGTAGCTGGATGTGAATAGGCCTGGCGTCAGTGACAGAGACGACATGGACCTTGGAGTTCCGGTCTCAGGTTTCAAAGAGAGTCGTCTGGTGTTTGGAGGTCGGTTGAACACGACCAGCGTACTGACGCCGCACCACTTAGCACCACACGTTCTAGGGAACGGTATGCAAGAATCACCGGCGTTCTCACTTTCCGAGTGACTTCTTTGACTTGACTTCATCGAATCAGAATCCTCGTTGGACTTCACTGGTATCTGAATTGTCATTATCGTTAGTATGATGAAATTGCTTAAGAAATTGATACCTGTTTAATGAGATCTGAGATTTTTGCGAGAATTCATTTGAATGAAAATAATATTTTCGGATTACTACGCGTTAATATGTAACATTTACATCTCGTCTGCCCGTGATCACGGTTGATGTAAAGTGACCGAAACGTCGGAAATTAGTTGTTGGAAAAATAATAAAATAATGTGTAGTAATCTAAAAACATTAGTTTCATTTGATACCAGTTTGGTTACCTCGTCTATAGATGTCGCTAGCGTCTTGAGGCAGTGTAACAAGCATCTATGCCCCTCCTTCTTCTTTCGATAGGCGGTTCTGTTGATAGCTTGTAAAATTTTAATAGTGGTACCGCTGTCTACATTAGTACCTGATAACCATGAGAATTTTGGTATAGTTTGCTCTGTAACATTTCTAGGGAAGGTCACTTGTAAATTGGCAGTGTAACCGTTTCTCTCTGAATGTATTTGACATATTCTCGTCTCTATATTCATGTCAGTGACCTCTATGTTGGCCATCTCACGAATAGACTCGAACTCTTCGTCTATTGAGGTAGTTGTTTTATGTACTATTTTATTCTGAAAATAATTTACAAGGACACATTGAGATTGGTTAAAAATTTGTGCAGATCTGCAAAATATATATAAGTTTTATTAATCTGTGTACCATTTGTATTTCTTCCCCCTTGTTGTCACTTACTGATAGATCGTTAATTGAACTTATAGTAGAAGCATAACTTACTGCAACAAAAAACATGACCAAATATGAAAATGTACATACCTATAATATATCAAAATATTTTATTTTGATTATTCAAATAATATGTATATCACGTACCATCGCTATTAATATCTTCATTTTCTAAATCATCAGGCAAATAATGTGAACACATTTTGAGGAGTGATGGGTGCATTGTCCACAACCTGAGCGTTTGGTCTCTACCCCAGGTCACCAGTTGGTAGTTTGATGGAAGTGTGTTAGGTCTCCAAACCATAGTTTGAACAGTGTCCGTGTGTCCTACTAACCTATGCGTCAAAGTTCCTCCAATCCAGATACCAATAACACCGGCCTGTTCCACTCTAGGCAGACCTCCCCAACCCACTCCAATAGTCAACAATCCATTACCAAAAGGCGTATAAATAGCTCTCCATACAGGGAAATTAGTCATTATAACATTCTCAGCCTTCCTAGCATTGTTTATATCAAAGTACTTAATGCTACCGTCGTGACTAGAGGTTACTAGCTGATATTCATGGTGCGGGCTCCAGTCGACGCCGTGAATCTTACACAGATGAGCTGATATGTAGTGGAGGGGTGAGGAACTTTTTCGATAATCCCATATCTTTATGTCTCCGTCGTGCGCAGTGGCTACTAAGTGTGATGAAACTTTGTTCCACTGCACCTGGGATGCACCGGCTGAAATTAACATTAATATATTTTTCAAAAATTAACTCGGCTATTATCATAATTAATTAATTACTAATATTACCACAAGTAAATATTTAAAAAAAATGCATTTTCATTTTGTTTTCTAGTAATCGCGATGGTGTAAAGCAATCTCAAGTTAAAGTTTCTAATGCAAGCTATATGCGAAAAATATAGTTTATTGGAGATTTTTGGGTGGATCTATGACTGAAAATATTACAATCTTTTATGTCACTTTCTTGGCGACATTAAACATCCTTTAGAGTGACCCATAAATTTAAAGTGTCTGAAGTTGTATTGCTTCATATTATTTTCATTCAAAATAATAGTTAATCTCTTAAGAGAAGACTAGATAATAGAGAAAAAAAAGAAGGAAGTCTCTATCTTTCTATCTTCACTATAAACTAAAAATATGAGTGACATAAAATAGTTTACTGAAAATAACATTATCAACAGAAACAAAACTTATAATTTACACCATACACCAATTTTTGACATTATGTCTGTCTTCCTTAAATACTGTTGAATAGATTATGATCTGTATTCTGTATAGGTAATATGTATTTTTAATATAAATATTTCATTTTCTAACAAAAAAATATATTGTATAAGAGATGATACCTATAAAGTTAAACTTTCTTTTTCATTACAAATATTATTTAAAAATATTTAAAACATAATTTATGATAATAGCATAATAGTAATTGATTAATTATTAAATGAATTACATATAAATATAGTGACAAGTAATAATTATGGCTACTGGGTCAAGCAAGTAACATTAACAATTGTATTGTGTCTCAGCAAAGTATGAGGTTTATGGACAATATAATAGACTTATAAGTTTCTCATTAAAAAGATTTTTGTACTGAAATAAAAAAATCATGCAAAAAATCTAACACTTATATATTCAAGCAATTTCATATAATTATCCAGAATTCTATGATTTTAAAAAGGAAAACAAATATAATACTTGCCTACAGCACTCAGTGAAACTATTGGCTTTCTAGAATCCCGCAAGTCCCAAAGGTATGTGAATGTGTCTATAGAACAAGTTGCTATAATGTTGTGATCCTGTCTGTGGAAATGTGTATCACTGACCACCCTTGTATGCCCTCGAAGTGAACATATACATGTTAGATCATTTCCAGCTCGCCATTCATATACATCAACTCGTTGATTACTCTGTATTTTTAGATTAGAAGTATATAAAATGTATATAGTATTATAAAATAAAAGATTCTGTATTTAATATATATACCGCAATTGCACACAGTTTCTGCCCGGGGTATGTTTGACACCATTCTGCGCCAGCGGCGTCATATTTACTGGGGCGAGGATACTTTTTAACAATATCCCCGGAATCGTCATCAACACTGATATGTTTTATAGCTAACCACCGACGACCCGCCAGTAACACATTATTTCCCGAATAATCAACAGACATAGCTGTGGCTTGAAGTTCTCTATACTCCCATTTCATAATTTCCGAACTCCAATGGACCGACATGATTTTTGATTTAAATTAAAGTTATAGGATAAAATATATTAAATGGTTTATCTATTCATAGGGAGAAAATTATCAAATAAAACATGTGAAAAATAAACACAAACACATCTGACAAAAACCTTTCATAACATTCACATTTGATTTTTGACAACTCTTAACTTTGACAAATGCAAACAGCTGAAGTTCTAAAACTGTCGGATACCTATCATATTCAAACATCCATTGGGTACTTTTCTAATTTTATAATTTTTTTTATTAAAACAATAGAATAAATTATTCAGTAATATAATTACATATATCTAAGAAGAATATACATATTGATTTTCAAAAAAATATTTTGAGACGTATGTTCGGAATACATCAAACATTATTGTGTAGTACCCCGTAGGTAACTTGTTCATTTAAATAAACTGTTGACATTGATAAATTTTAAATATGATATTATGTTAATTCAACATTAGTGAAATATAAACTCGTTTTACTTGTACATTAGAAACATGTTCGCGGGGTTATTGAAATACAAATAAGAGTGTTGATACAACTTGTTGCAATGCTCCCGTATATGAGGAGATGGCGATATCGAGTTATTCGCAATACATTTTCAAAATTGATTTTTGGAATTGTTTTTATTTATGTATATTGTGAATATCTTGTTTATTATGTCACTCAAATGCAGGTGAACTTTAGTTACTATAGATAGTTGCAATGCTCTTAAAAATTAAAAATAAATCTTTATATGGTTAATATTATTACATTTATATATAAAATTGTAGTGTGATTGGCCAGTATTAAACAAAGATCCCCTCGATAAGACGGATCCTGTGTATGCCATGATCATTGCTGATACTCATCTGCTAGGCTCCAGAGATGGTCACTGGTTTGATAAATGGCGAAGAGAGTGGCAGATGCACCGAGGATTCCAAGCAGCCATGACTTTACATAAGCCCGAAGTGGTATTTGTATTAGGCAAGTAAATAGTTATCATTATTGGAAGCTTTTGATATGATCTTATTTAGTATGTAATCTTAAAATACAAAATTATTTTACTAGTAATATTTATGTGTCTAATTCCTTGACCGATTACTTATAAGGTTTAATAAGAAGTAATTCAACTATTTTTTATAATAAAATAGAAAATTTTATCTCACATTAATACTGCACTTAAGATTTTGTTAACTTTATTCCTGTTCTATAATTGGAAAATTTACATTCCAACTTATATATGGCCATGAAAATATTATTAATAATATGGCTAGAATTCTCTATACTTTTATACTGCAGTAACTCATTAAAAAGACATTTAAAACTTATATTAATATTTTTATAAGACTGCGTCAAATCATTTTAAAAATAATTATTTAAGAGACCCTACGATATCAGTTTTCACAGTTAACATCACTTGGCTTTACTTTTTAAACTTTGGCTTTAACCAGCACTGACAAGATGTATCCTCTGATTGTTATGGAATATAGTAACATATAATATTTAACATATAACTTGGGACCAATGACATGTAACAAGTATTTTACTAGACAGTATTTGACTATTGGATTTTTCCAATTATAGATTACTTCCTGAGAAACCCCTACACTCCAGAATCTTTCATAGAAGATTACCTTGTAATCTGACAAGTTACAGATACAAATATAAGATTTTATATGTTATATATATCTGTACTCTAAAGCACAACCATAATTTGTTATGTATGTTAAATCTATACTATCTATAAACAGTAGAGTGTGTTTCCTTATAAAATTAATGTCGTAAATACTACAGAACTTATAAAATATATGCAATAAGTTTTCTTTAAATTATCTTCCAACCAACACATATGTATAAAATAATGAAAATATACTAATCAATCTCAAGGTTATCTTCATCACATGAAGTCAAATTTAAACTAAGCAATCGGAAAGAAAACATTGCCTAATGCCTACACTTCCACACCGAGAGTTCAGCTTTTTTTTTGTTAAAATTATGTCCTTAATTTATTCTGGTTATATATTATTTCAGACATTTACGTATCCATAATGACTATTACGATTTTTACTAAATCTGGATAAAAGTATCTTATAATAAAATTAATTCATTTTCAATGTATTGTAGGGGATTTGTTTGATGAAGGGAAATGGTGTTCACAAAAGGAGTTCGACGAATACGTGGAAAGATTTCATCGTCTCTTCAAGATACCTGTTGATACGAAAATGTACACGGTAGTGGGCAACCACGATATCGGTTTTCATTACAGGTAAGTTAACCTTTTAACCTTTTGAATATTATTTTTTTTTATCTATTACGATCTATAAGTGTTTCACCGACATACGTGATAATTAATATTCACAACTAATTAGATATATAAAGTGTAAAGTAAAATAAAAAATACCAAAAATTTAAATTAAATTCTCTTTTGATTTAATAAATTTTATCATCAAAGTAATTTTATTATTCAACATTTTTTTTTTCTTAATTACATGAAATTGGCTGTATCCCTTGCGTTCTTCGGTCTAACTGTTCAGGCGGTACTGGTTTATGGTAATTTTTTTTTTATAAATCATTGTTGAGCTTAATTAAAGTTATTCAAAAGAGGTTACATATAGTGAAGACATTTAAAAAAATATTTGCATTTTTTATAAAACATAACTTGAACTTTTATTTAAACCATCATTTTAATATTCATTATATAAACGATACTATAGTGGTATTGTATTATATTAAAAATTAGTAACTCTATTAACAAACTTAGTATATCACTAGAGTATTATTGACTATTCGATTTATTTAAGTAGAACAATACGATTTATTTTAATACCGTAATATCTACAATCGATAAAATCGTTTTATGGGACCATATGATAAGTATTCAATTACAGTAATATTTCATTATTAGTATTTATTAATTAATTTTTTATTCACCTCCTAAAAAAAAACTGTTTGATAAATATTTCCTACATAGGAAATTTTAGGTTTTAAAAGGTTTACAATATTTTTTATAATTTGTATATAAATTCAATTCATATATAAATCAGATCTTAAATGGAGATAATCAAATTGTTTAATTTATACTTTTCTGTTGATCTTGTTAATTAAATCGAAGTATTAGTATTTAGAATTTGTTTTCAATTTAAAGGTATGTGTACACTATATGAGGTAAATATAGTATTAAAGTGTATTAGATAGACGTCTTTTGTACAAAAACCTCGAACAATTACACCAATCAGTTGACCCTCAACCGTGCGAATGGCCTGTGGCGCCCTCGGTGATAACAGAGGAACCACTTGATAGCGGTTTTTGAGATACGACGACGTACTTAAATACTGTCAAGAAATTATGTTTATTACCAATAAAATCGATATTTGTTTATAAAAAATATTAATACTAGCTTCCTATAAAAATGAAGACTTAATTGCTTACCATTAATCGTTTAACAAGATATATAATTTTAATATTATAACATTTTTTTTGTGTAGAATTATTTTATATGGTAACCCAAAAAAACTAACGAAGTCTGCCTATCGATGTGTTTTTATAATGTTCTCAATAACCATTTGAATAATTAATTCAATTAAAATAATTTTGATATTTTTTCCCTAAAAATCTGACGTCTTACGCATTAATTAAAATATTCGAATGTAGAATTACACCGCAATTGGCGAATAGATTCGAGGAAAAGATGAAATCTCCTCCGGTACAACTGGTGAGTATACGTGGGAATCATTTCGTCCTGCTCAACTCTATGGCGATGGAAGGAGACGGATGCACCTTCTGCTCGAGGGCTGTAGCTGAAATCGACAAAATAGCAGGTTCTCATAAATATAAGGAAATATTGTCCATTAATAAACACAGCCAAAGTTTTTTCCTATAATTCCTTTTTTTTTGTAGATATCATGAAATGCAGTAGCGGATCTAAGTTGTGTAAAGGAAGAGAAAAGCTACAAAAATATAGCAAACCAATAATTCTACAGGTAAACTTGTTGAAAATATCTGAAACATTATATATAGTTTTATACACTGTATTTGTTATTTTCCAAAGAGGGTTGATGTCAGGCAGGCGGCCGGTCGTAAAAACAATTAGACAAAACTCTTCACAACATGTAAGGCAGATCCTGGCTATAGCTGGGAAATTGTCAGGAAGAAGAAGACACTGTATTTGTTACATCATCTTTCACAAATTTTATTTAATAACCAGATGGTTATAGACATAGAGACGGCTGGTTTTTAATTATCATTAATATTCTTTTTTTTGAATAAATTTAAATGAAGTGTTTTAGAGGACTTAATGAATTCTCGTTTGATATTTTTTTTATGAAATTTCAATTTAAAATTTTAATTTCTTAAATCGCATTCCACAAATCTAGATACCGCTCATTTTTATTCAAATATTGTCGTCTAAGGACCGGTCTAGGAATTTATAGTAATAATAAAATAAACAAGTCAGACTCTCAACTTTTTTATATTATGGTAATTAAAGTGCATTTTTTATTATCTATTATAATGATTATCCTTTTTCGTTCGAATTTTACAATATTTTAAAATTTAAAAACCGTTTTTTTTCTTTTAAATTCTTACCGTCATTGCTTCAATTTTAATTATGTATTGAGTTTTTAATAAATTTCTCTATGCGATATAATGTTAAAATTAAATCAAAATATATTTTAATTAAAATTGGTAAACATTATTGTAAGATTGAATTTAATGGTTGTTATTATTAGTAAATATTTTACTACATAATTATTTGCTCTTGTTAATTTTTAATTTTTTGTGGCTAGACATCTGAGTTTTGATGCTTATCAAACGCCTGTCATGAAATCTATTTCCAATGTCAATAAAAACTAAACCAGTTACACTTAGACAAGTATCGTGATCAACAAAAAGGGGTTTTATATAATACTTGCTTTCCGCCCGCAGCTTCTAACGTGTGGAGTCCGGGCGTTTCCAAGAGAACCTTTCAAAAGTCTGGAATAAAAACTATTCCATATTCTTTCTTAAGGTCAACTCCATCTCTGTACCAAATTTCATTAAAATCAGTTCAGTGGTTTAGGCGTGAAAGCGTATTTTTCATTGTTTACCCCCCGCAACCCCCTTTGTGAGTGGAATTTCGTAATATCCGTTCTTAGCTGACCTCTACTCGGCAAAAGAAATAATCTTACCAGATTTCAAGTCGCTACGCCTTATGGTTCCAGAGATATTGTGATGAGTCAATGTATAGGTGGATATATAGATATGTATATGATCTGTTGCAGCACTACCCATTATACAGGGTGTCCGATGGCATATGTAAGGAACCGAATGTAGAGCCGTGGTCGAGGAAGTCGGAATTGTTCATCGAGCGTTGGGACTGTCTGTCGAGGGAATCCACGGAGTATCTCGTAGAAAGCCTCCAACCTCGAGTGGTATTCGGAGCCCATACACACCACGGCTGCAAAATTGAACACAGTTTTATGCCGACACGTGATCATAAGATTGAGTTCACGGAATACACAGTACCTTCCTTCTCGTGGAGAAACAGCCTGGAACCCGAGTATTACTTGGTATGTTTTTATTTATATTTTCTTGCAAAATTGCGTTTTTTCTTCTTAGCTGACCATGAATCAGCAACCTTAATATGTATTTAAGTTAACCTATGACTTTACCTTCATCCCAAAGTTTGATAAATTCTGTGCGGATTATAACAGAATTCGACGCATAAAATAATCTGGTAAATTTTTTGCGATATACTAAAAATCATTGTTATATTCTTAATATATCTTATTATTTCTTCAAAAAATATTCCTATGTTAATATTACTTCCTCAAAAATATAACGAACCAGAATAAGTATGGGACCTACAACACCAATAGATAAATGTTCTCATTTCTCATATTTTTTTCTCTCGATGCAATCAATCTTTCTTTGCGGTCGTGATTACATTTTAATTACCACAAGATTACTCACGGAGATACTAAAGAATATATAAATAAGAAGTTATATATCAATTTAAATTAAAATATATGAGATACATATGATAAAATCTTAATTTTTTGAGTCATCATGTCAGTTGATAATAAAAATGAGTATTTCTTTGTATTTTGAAAGGAATTAAACAGTTATGTCCTATTTTAAGGTGAGCATAAACACATCGGAGGTGAAAGTTTTGAAATGTGAGTTACCGAGCGAGTGGTCGATACAACTTACAGCCGTCATACTCATCATCGTGCTCTTGGTTTATATTAAATATTTCTCAAGAGTTGTTACTGGGTTTAACCATAAACAATTGTAGCTAAGACATGCCATAGACTATAGAATATACCATAGACTATAGAACTGTAACCACTATCAAAGATCTCACTTCTAATAAGTCTGTTTAGGTAAGATATTTATACTATAGAGTAGGAATTGTAATGGCTCTGAAATCTCATTTATTAAGTCTTATATGATAAGTCTTATTAAAAATATTTCTTAATTAATCTCAATATTTACATATGATATATTGTAACTAATTTATGATATCAGTAATCCAGTTTATTTGCCAATGAAGCGAGAGTAAACAAACCTTCAGAGGTTCATTATTTCATTTTAATGACATAGTTAATAAATGTAGTTCTCGAAGATCGGTTTCGCGAAATTACATTTAATATACTGTCCTAATTTTTTTTTTGAACGGAGTTTTAATGGATAAAATTTATTTATTACGTATTTCTAAGATTTCTTATGAGGAAACATATTTCGAATAAAAGTAACGTTCGAACTAGAGAGTTAGTTACAATACAGTAACAATAAAAATTATCTTATTATAAAAAGAAAAGTGATCGTTTTTTGGTGATTTTTTCTTAACCTAATGTAAATATCAAGTATCATCAGCGTACTATAGACGTATATACACTTACTAGCTTTCCGCCCGCAGATTCGCCCGCGTGGAGCTCGGTTATATCGCGTTTCCAAAAGAACCTTTCAAAAGTTTGGAAGTAGATTCTGGCATTTCCCCACACCCATCTTCCTCTCGCCATTACTTGAAGTCAGATCCATGAGGTAACAATTTAGAACTGTACACACCGAGTGCTGGAACATAGTGAACGGTAGCCTCCGGTCTAAACGGGGATCAATGCCTCTCATCGCTTCGTATGTTCTTTCAATCTGATCGATGTATCCAGAAAATTCAAAATTTCGCGAGTAATTCTCTTGAACGGGTATCGAGCTTGAGTGGGGTCCTAGATCGTAGAGGGGTTCATCAACAGGAGCAGTCTCTTGAGTTGCTCTGAAGTCAAAGGCAGCGGAGGCATCATCTTTCTTCTCCTACTCTAGCTTCTTTTTCTGTTGTCTGTCTTTCCATCCTGTACTACGCTGGGTTGGACCACGTGGTTTTGGGGCTTGCTCCTCGAATTCTCTCGCTTCGGCAAGTCTGTTTCAGCAGCACGTTGTTGCTGGTATTCGTAAGCTCTTCCTTGGCTCCTAGTGCCGGTATTCATTCTTCGGCTATGTGTGTCAATTCCACTAGAGGGCTTTCCACGCTGAACTGGGTTGACTGTTCTTCTACTTTCGTAGGTATTTGACATCCTGTCTGACTATAAAGATCAACTTAATTTTCAGACTTTTCGTCATAAAAACGACGTTTAATTATAATAATAATTATATTAAAATCGGATTTTATGGAGGTGACATTAATTGCAAAATTATTAAATTTGGGTATCAATTTAGTAGACTAACAATATGCCACACAATTGATAGGAACATTTAAAATACCTGTTCCCATAATATTTAATTCAATTATATTTTTGCCTTGACATTCTAGATAAAGTTTATTAGCTTGCGACTGCACAAAAATCCAATTATTATTAGAGAGCGGTTGCCACAGGTCAATATTTGCTTAAATAATTTGCGTTTTACACTGTTTTGGCAGGGAATTAACAACCTTGGACATAATTTCACTTTCACAAGTGGGATTTGCACTCGTGGAGAACACAGTCATCACGTCACAGATGAATTCACGGTGATTTATCGCTTTACACTCTTTGAGTGATTCTAGGTTGCAGTATTCTGACTTATCCTTGGTCATTGCTACGTATTTCGTATTAGGTATTATAAAACTAAAAGAATTTGGATTTACATTTTGATAAGGAGTAGGCAAAGCAATTGTATGAAATAGACTATATTCCTTAGGGGAAACTAAAGGTAATCTTAAAACAAACATAATTTTATTATCTAAACTATAACAAACTACCTTACATTGTATGTGCATATCTTCAGTTGTTGTGGCGTTTGCTTAAGTTTAATTTCTGGTGTGGTGTTAAGTTGGGGTTTAGAGGGTTTTGGTCTTACACTCCCACGATGACCAGTCGGCTTGGGAGCAGCTTTTGATGGCTAATTATTGGTCTTTCCTTTGTGTGGGTTGCTTCGAGACCGGGTCATAACCTCGAAAGCATTCTTTGCAACAATTTTCTTTGAGCCCCCTGAGGAGGTTTGTTGGTTTTGGTTATATCCGATGGTTTTTTAACTACAAGGTTTCCTCCTCGCAGGTAGGCAATATTGCCTTTGTTCCTTTCCTCTTCGAGTTTAGGCTGCAAAGACTTTCTTATTTCTAGTATTTCTTTTGAAAAGTCCTCTTTTATGTATATTTCTTCCGGGAGTTTCTTTTTGTTTTTTAGGATTAGGTTTCGTCTCCAGTTGGAAGTGAAGGAGATCAGGATAGGTCGGGGTCTGTTGCTTGTTATTTTTCCGATCCTATGACCTTTATTGATTTCATGTTCCTGAATATCCATGTACTGGTGGGTATTGATTTTCTCTTTCATGAATTTTACTATAGTTTTTTCTTCTTCGTTGCTCTCTTTTATTCTACAAAATAATAAATTGTTCTTTTTATTTTGTGTCTCTAATCCTTTAATTTTTTCTTTCAGTTCCGAAACTTCTGCTTGAAGATCTTGGTTTAGTTCTTCTAGCAGTTTGAACCTTTCGTTCAATTGCTGTGAAATATTTTGAGTAACAGCCTTTGTAATAGATATTGTTTGTTTATCCATTTGCTCTTGAATTTTTTCCAGTAAAAGTTGCATTTGGTTTTCCATATCTTTCTTTTATTTTAATATTAATTATGTTTATTTATTTATTTTTTGTTTTATTTATTTATTTCATTATTTAATGGTAATTTTGTTTCCTTATATGGCAACACTCTATCTGTCAAATTTAGTTTGTGAAGTTGGTTGCATTGACACTTGACGTGACAGTGTTGTTTTTGTTTACCCTCAATAATATTTATATTTGAGGTAATATTATATTTGAGGTTCATTAATGATCTTTCACGGCAATATTTAATTATTTAGAAGATAGTTTGTGCGTGATTTGTTCACTTGATACACTTTCCACAACTAAATGTTTCTTTATAACTGCTATGTACACTGTTTTAACTAGCTGAAACACTTTTTTACGAGGTTTTATTACGAGTGATTATCGAAACGTCTGTTGCTGTCACACTCCCGACCGGAACATCCTCTTGCTTAGACGTACGCCATCAGGAACTTGCTCTGGAACACGCACGTACTGTATATATCTGGGAATATTCTTCGGAATGATATAATTTCGCTGACCAGGGGATGACCTCCTATGCCGCGCATCTTATACCGATTTTTCATTTCAAAGAGGACGGTATTAATACGTGCCATTAACTCAGGACATACTCTGAGTCGAGCGGCACCTGAATCACCCTCAGGGAACTCGAAACCTTCTATCCTCTGTCGAGCTTCTGGATGTAAAATTTCGGGGGGTCCATGTCCAAGTAGATTTTCATTGGGAATACCACCCGCAGGGATCATCGCTGCTGGAAGCGGCGGAATTTCTGGTTGTCCAGGCTGTCGACGTGAATTTAACACGCGGTTCATCGTCACTAACGGAGAAATGTAGCATTCATAGACGTTGTGGTTCTCAGCTGTAACAGGAAATCAGAAATGGATGAATTGATAATGACACGAGGAAGAAGTACTTTAGTTGGATCTGTCGTGATCTCGAAGATTTTTGTTTCATTATGAGAAACGGATACAGAGGATTTTGGCAGATCAACATTTTGCTGTTGCTGCACGGGTACAGTGGATACTGGCGAATGATGTAACGATGCCGGCGAGATAGTATTCTGATTGCCATGTAGCGGAATAGGTTTAGATTTTGGGGTGCCGATTTTTGGCTTGTGCAGTCCCGTTCGGCACAGGGACGAGACTCTTACTCGTTTTTTGGGTAAAATATCAACAGTATCGTAACCTTTTTCATCATTAAGATCTTCATTAGGTATTTCGTCATTAATTTCTTCAGTTATAAAATTCATATTGGGCATAGTTTGAATGGGAATTTTTATATTTTGGGTTTGATGGGGATTTCTGAATCGTTGGTTATTAAATATACGTTTGCGGCATTGTTCCAGGTTATGACCGGGAGATTTGCAGTATCTGCAAATTATGTTTTTGGAATCATTTAAATTATGCTGGCGATTATGATTTGAAGTTGTTTGATTTGGGTAGGAAACATAGTGACGATTTGGAATTCTATTATTGTTTTGAACATTTGTTTTAAAGTTATAAAATTTATTAAGACGGATGTTATCGTTTGTGTTGTAAGTCATGTTTTTATTAAGAGATTGTTGAATTTTTTCTTCACTGATAGCTGCATTTATTGCGTCATTTAAGGTTTTAACTGATTTACATCGTACTATGTTCGAGATACGCGGTGTCAATCCCATCTGAAAATGATGGAGGGCTAATTCTTCCATGGCCAGTGTGCGTCCTATCATTTCACGGCTTTTGTTTCCATGTGTGATCGAAATTTCTGTCAGTAACGATGAAAGGCAAGTTTCTACTCTTAAGGCATATTGACTAACTGGTTCATTTGATTTCTGTTTGCATTCTTGTAATTCGGTTAATAAGTGAGCATAATGTTTATAGACACTAAACTGGGTTTTAAGAAATTCTTTCAGTTGTTGCCAGTTGGTGAATTCATTAATGGAGCAGGCGGTTTCAGCTTTTCCTTCTAATTGACATAGTATAAATTTGAAAAGAATATCTTTTTGGGTTTCGGATGCTAATTCATAAGCATTATTAGGGGGAAGTCCCCTAGTGGCGGACACTTAAGGTTATTTATAAATAAAACAAAAAATATTTTAAGAAATGTTTATTAAATTATGACTTATATTAGATAACAAAGTTAGAAATCAAATTAAATTAACAAAAATGCAACCTCTGCTTAAAAATAATTAATACTATCAATCAAACTTTGTTAACAAAAAATATAATTTTAGAAAGTGGCACCTAGTACCGGACGAATACTTGTGCCATACCCCTAGCACCGGACATTTCAAAATAACCTGCATCGATCACATATATAGTCATCTCCACACTCTGGAATGTCTGCACATGCTTCATGTATCCATCCACGACAGGATGAGCACTGGATCCAGTCTTCGTCAGTGTCTTCTAAGCAAACTACGCAAATTGTTATGTTTGTGTTAGATGTTTCAGTTAATGGTTCTACTTCACTTCCTTTCTTTCCTTTAGGTTTCACGTTTGTCGCTTCTTTTCCCTTGTCTACGCTCTTTCCTTTGGTTTTAATTCCTTTGGTTTGCTTTCCTTTACCTCTCATTGCTACTTCAAACTTAGATTTTATTTCCTTCTTTTTATCTTTCATGTTCTTTTCATTTTCTTTTTCTTCTACCACTTTTTTGTATGGCGATGAAGTTAAAATTTCACTTCGTTCACTCTTTCTTTTTCGAGCTGCTGTTCGTTTTTTTGCTGCGTCAGGCAACGGTGATAAGTTATGGATTATCTGAACAAGATCGGGAGCAGAACTTGTCGACGGTTTGGGACTTGTGGTTATAGGCTCACTAATAGATTGTTCGGATTCTTTTATTTGCTCTTCTATGATTGAGTTTGATATCACGACAGCTTGTTCGTTGTTTAGTGGGTTCGATGAAGTTTCTGTTTGTTCTAGTGGTATATTGGTCATATCTGCAGCCAAATAATCTAGGTCAGAAAAATAAATGTCTGTCAAATGGATGGATTCCAGTGCATTTGAATCCAGATACTGCAATATCCAATCGAGCTACTTTTATAAATGCTTCTTTGACCAAACCAGCAATGTCGTAATCCGTTATCCGACATCCAGCATTTGTTCTCATCCACAAGTCGCATCGTTGGCTGTATGCATCTTTAAATGGCTTCATAAATGTCCTGTCCAGAGGCTGGAGCTTGTGCGTAGTGTGTGGTGGTGAACTCATCAAGTGAATATGATTTTCTCTGCAAAAACTGATTACCGCCAATGTCTTGTGGCTGCAATGGCCATCTAGTAGAAGCAGCACAGGGTTCTCTTTGGTTGGTTGCGTGTGTTTGACAAATATTCTTAGATATTGCAAAAAAAAGTCACTATTCATCCACCCTTTTGGCTGGGCCACACCGATGCTCTCAGCTGGAGCATTCATCATAAGCCTTTCATTCATTCTTTGTCTAGGAAATACGAAAAATGGGGGTATGTAGTGACCGTTAGCACTCATACAGAACAAAACTGTGATGTTTTTGCCTCTCTCAGCAGAAGTGAGCTTACCTACTTGACGGATGGCTTTCGGAGCGAGAACTTTTTGATGTTTGTGCACGCAACTGACACCAGTTTCATCACAGTTATAAATTCTTGAGGGTGTGAATTTGTACTGTTTCATCAGCTTTTCAAGGTTGTCGTAGAATAGATCCACTTGTGGTTTGTTAAATCCTACGGCGCGCATCATGCTTGTCGATTCCGGTGCTCTCAACGAAATGTCAGAATGCCTTTTCATGAAGTCGTAGTAAAAATGTTTACCAGCACTGCCTTTTTCTTTATTAAATCGATGAGGAATCTTCATGACTTCAGCTAAGTCGTATGCTAATTTTAGAAACTCCTTTTTCATGAGCGGCATGCATCTATTCGATAAATCTTTTATGTGGTCCACCAAGACTTGTTCATACTCTGCTGAGAAGGTGCTAGTGAACTTACCTAACTTTGGTTTCATTGTTACTTCTTCTCCTCGATTTAGGGCCTTTATTTTATCATGAATAGTGCTTTTAGGAATATTGTATTGCATTGCAGCTTGTCTTACACTCAGTTCTTTTGACATAACCTTATCAATAGCAGTTCGTAAGCTCTGTGGCTCCCAGGATCCTTTCTTTTTCTTCTCTTCCATTTTTATTATCTTCTTTCTTCTATAATCTAAAACAAAATTAAATAATTAGAATAAATGACGTAAATTCTTACAAGAAATATCAATATGTTTACTGTCCGGCGCTAAGGGACGACTTAGTGTCCGGTGCTAAGGGACAGACATTTTCGTTCATTAGGTGGTACCTACTAAAATTGTTTAAAAGATCTAATAATATTCTACCATTTTACGGATAACAATCAAGTACTACTTTTATCTTTGAATACCACTCAAATATAAATGCATAAATATACTAGAATTACTTACATTGATATTTAGGTGACGCCGTGATTTCGCGCCTAAAACAGCTGACGGTTGCTCCCGCCGTGGCCGTGTGCGTCACTGGCGAGGCGCGGCGCGTGATCCTGTACCTGTGTGCCCCCCGCGCCCCTTTCACTTGTATTTTGAATCGAACAGATTTATACTCGCTTAAATAGTACGAGTGTCCGGCGCTAGGTGCCGTCCGGCGTTACGGGACTTCCCCCTACAATTAATTATAAATGAGTTTAATGTATCTCTTCGGCCATCATAGGGCTTAATAAATTTTAGTAGGATTGAGAGCTCTAATTCGGGTTTGGTTACCGGTGTTTTTCTTTTGGACGTGGACCTAGTTGATGGTCCTGAAGGAGGGGGGCAAAGACTTTCTCTATCGTCCTCGGTATCAGTTACGGCTATTTCTGGTCTTTCATTTTTTAGGCTTTGTGATCCACTTTCAGCCATTTTTAATCACCCAAAACACAGAAAATATTTTACAATACGACAAAACAACAGAATATATATTCCAAATACAATATAAAATACCAACAGACAAAATAAAGCACTATATAAAATGCAATACAACCAGACAAATCACTAATATAAAGGTTTGAACAATAATAGAGTATAATATTAAGACAATGACCAAGAGATAAGGCTTTCACTTACAGAGCGATAACAGGCAGAATCATGTTCCTTGAATTCTTCAACAAAGACCGGAGCTATGTTTCCCAAAGCGTCGAATTTGGTGAATTGAGTACATTTATTATTTTTTAGTGGCAAAAATTGAATATTTTATTCCATATTTTGTAATTTAAATTGCCAGGATGTAGAAATAGTTTATATATATTAGAGTTCTTTTCACAATTGTCACTTTTTCACTGAATTTAACACTTTAAATAATGAAGAGACTTTTCCGGAGACTCTTTGAATCCCTTTACGCTGCCACCAAAATGTTATGAGCGTCAGGGTTGAAGGGTTTTTTAAAAAAAGATCTAGTGTGAAAAGTAGACATGACCGTTTTTAATGGATGATGGATTGAGACTGAAATGTGTGATGGATGGAAGGAATGCTGATGAGGCAGGAATGAGGTATAGAGTCAGCAGAAAAGGGTGCATTGGGGATATGTACAGAACGTTACAAAGCTTCTTAATTAAAATTATACTTAATAGATATTTATTAAACACATAGTTGTTGTTTGACGAGTACTCATGAGGGATCAGTTGTCGGGTTGAGTTCAGAGACGTTCTTAATCGTATTTAGATCAACATTCGAATGTCACTTGCTAATAATAATATTATTGTATCTGTGTGTTGTAACGGCTTACGTATCATTTTAAATTTTAATACATTTTTTTAATTAAAATTATTAGCCTCATTTACTTAACTTTTTTTTTATAATAAATAGGTATAAGTATAATAATTGTTAATGAAGTATCAGTGATTTTTTTTTATTGATTATTACTTGTTTCGAATGTATAAAATTCGAGATTCCAAATTTAAATGTTATGCAATATACAATATCAACCTTTAGTGCTATTTTTCTTATTTTAGCTTTTTTTGTAAGATTGTGAAACTGTGATTATTTTGCAGGATTACTGACTTTTAATACCAAAGATTAATTGTGTAATGTGATTCATAATAAAATATATAATCGTAATTTTGACTGTCTTTTATTTTAAGGATCTAAGACTTTCGCGAGTATTCATTTAAATGAAACTAATATTTTCGGATTACTATGCGTTTTTTATTATTATTAAAAACTACACACTTATAGCTTTAAAATAATAAGATACACGTAGTAATCCGACATTATCAGTTTCATTTAAATCTTTTATTTTTTTATCCTTGTATTTACCGATTTAAACAGAATTAACAACAATAATTTGGTTTTAGTCGTGTCGTATACACAAAATAACTATTGTAAATAGAAAATAAATGTTTCAATGGCTCAATATGATTTTCAAGGTTTTATTAAAGTTGACAGTGTATTATTACACAATCTTGTTTCTTTTGATATCTTAAAAGCAGTAAGTCGAATATTTATAAACACGTATAATTTCGTTGGCCATATATTTTAAGTTGTGACGTCATTTAGCATCCATCATGGCGGAACTTCCAAAATGGCGGACTAGAAATAATCAAGCACTCCTTAAAAATTCTTAAATAATTTAAGGCTTGCTGATATAAATAAAAGTTTAGTAAGTTTTTAAATTAAAAATCAAAAACGAAGAATTGTAAAATGATTTTTTTCAAAATAATATATCTTATTAAGAACTGACAAATGATTTTTTTCATATTGGAGCCTGTATTAATTTGTAGTCAATTGATAATGTCGTCCAAGCCTAAACAGCTTGATTAGTAACGGTTTTCAATTCATTTAATTGATTGAATCTGATTGTTGTCATTTCGACACTTTTATGTTTGGAATCCATATAAGCAGAAATATTAATATTTTTTTAACGATGATGAATGAATTAAACTAATAAACAGTAGGTATTATTAAAAAAATCGACTTAAATAAGAAATACACTTAATTAATTTGGAATTTATCTGCTTTTAATTAAAACTCTCGTAATTTATGACACATCGAAATCATGTACCATATTTTACTTCTCATGTATGTAAATGAAAAAATATTTATAAACTAATTATTATGATATAAAAATTTAAACACACGACCCATTAGGTTGTTTTCAGAAAATTAGGTTTGAGAAAAATAGAGTTTTCATTTGCTTAATATATTTATTAAAGAAACTTATAATTAATAATTTATATAGGAACTTTTAAATACAAAAATACATTGTCGTTCATAACAACAACTAGGGAATACATATGTCATAAAAAAAATACATACTCGGTACATAATACTGTAAAATGAACTGTCTCAACTTGTATTATTGTAAGTACCTCGAAACAATAGCAATAAAAATGTTTGTAAAATGAATTATCATTTCCGAATTGCTGGTCGCAGGTTAAAGATAAAATAAAGACATACAGATAATATACACAATAAAAGCGCGAACTGTTTGTAAGGTTACACTTTTCAGCCTAGCAACTAAATTCTTTTATACTACCCGTTATGATAATAATTATAGTAATTATATTTAATATTATTCTGGTATATCGCTGAGTCGTATCCCGCCTGGCCTGCGGTACATTCTCTCGTGCATAGGAAGCTCTCCAATTAAGAAGCGATCTAACGCTTTTAGCGCCATTTTTGAATGACCCGAGCCTCTAAAGGCAGTACTGGCGTCCCGGCCTGCATACTCTAGCATTATCTCATCACCACCGGGATGCTGCAATTAAATTACAAGTTAGTTATAACTATAACATGAGGTTTAAAACAGTATTATTAACATTGTTTGCAATCCCTACCTCGTATAAGAAAGTCGATATATCGTAGACCCGGTCGTATATAACAACCCAGCAGTCGTCTCTAGTGTCGTGATGGGAGATCTCTGCGAGAGTTAGAATACGGTCCCTCGCTTCTGGGGCTCCCGGTACTATTTTTGATGACCATTTAGGCTTCTTCTCCACCGACCACGGGCTAACCAGCCGGAGAGCGGCCATGGTCAGCGCCATAATGTCTATTTCGCTCGCCTCCTGCTTCACTGGTAAAGGGGATGCTAAACTAATATCCGGCGATGACTGTACAGTAGCCATTCTGTTTTCTTCTGTCCAAGTATCACAAAAACTATAAGCTTATGTCGATCACTCGGCTCTCTCAACCGTTGAAGGTTAACAACTGTAAAGAATAAGACCTTGCTATAAAATCAGGGTTGGCTTTGATTACATTATTATATTATTGTTGTACATTTTATTCAATTATATATTTTAAAAATAAACCTACATCTGACATATTAATATATTATAAGAATTGAGTTGACCTTAATCAATCGTGTTAATTTATTGTTGTCAATAAATTTGTAAATGTCAACCCTGTTTATTATAAATAAATATAGTTGTTTATGTTCAGTTACTAAGTAATATTATCTAGTCTGAAGTATTTTGGTTAAAAAGCAAGTGATACAATTTATTCGACAGTTTTCATACATAAAATTTTTGATAGAAATCAAAATAAAAGCCTAAATTTCACATAGTAAATATTACTTTCTGATATTTTTTATAATAAACAATATAAAAGTAATTCGCTTCCGTCTTTAAAAGTTCTTTTATCAGAATCATACGAGAAATATTATCAGCACATTGACGTAAATTGCCAAAATGATAAATATTTCATCTGAGGCTGTGACCCTGTTAAATATTTACGCAAAGGGCCATCACTATCAATCCATTAAAATTTTCTTTTAAACAATCCATCCATAATTATTGATCCAAAATAATAATATTCACCTGTTTTCTGTGTGAATGGAGGAAGTTTTCGTTATCTCTGCTGATGCTCGAACCGAGGAGAATGACTGTCACACCAATTGTCACTGTACCACCACTGTTCGTATTTGAGATGAATGATTTCAGGTAAATTCATGAGAGCGCTGATCATTGCCACAAACTAATATAGACTGTACATTTATCAGTAGCGACTTGTGAATGAGCTTGTCGCGTTCCGAACGTCGGTTTTATAGTTCTCAGGCACGCGCCTATCTGATGTAACAGCCAGCTATCTTACGAGGGCCCGTGCGACAAACATCGCTTACCAAAATATGCCCATTCACCGTTTCCGTTTACATGTTTATATTTAATAATCATCAAAACATTTACGATCAATTATGTATTTTCAATACTTATTTTTGGATTATAAAAAACATACATTTCAATTCAAAAAACTTAGATCTTTACAATGATAATTATTGGTTGTCCTATAATTATTTTGTTTATTATAAAAATATGTTTTGTATGAAGTGTTTGTTCGTAATTTTAACTGTATTCGTAAATTCCTAAACATGTGTGCGTAAGCAGTTATTGTTTTGAAGATTTCTCCATCGCACGAGTTTCGCTGACGTAGGGCGGTGAATAAACTCATAGATCTTCTACAAATAGATAATATATGATAGAGATTTCGCTCAATAGTAAGCATTGACATATATTAATGTTAGTACAGAAGATGTTTAAAAGTAAAATATAGGCTAAATTAATTTAAAATTATAACATTCACGCTCACGTCAATGTAGGAATTAAAATTGAATATTTTGTATAAATTTTCCTAACATTTTTAAATGTTTTTACATATATTACTGGCGAGCTGTAGTAATAAAACTAAAAATATTTTTCTATACCGATGATGCAATACATTCAAATGAATCGACTTTTTGTCTGTGCATTATAATAGTTGGTTGATGTGAGCGAAATTTGAATAAATACTCCTTTTAGAGTAAGCACATCGGTCGTATAAATTTAACGAAAACCTGAAACGTATTCGAAATTGTTGCTAAGAGAAACCAGATTGTTACCTTCGAACGTGTATAAGTTTGCATCGTTACCTACATACGAAGCTTTTTGCATTTTCATCCAATAACACACTTTAATACTGAGGCTTACGAATAAACATCTCGAAACGCTACTTAATAATGACTGCAAACTTTTGGTACACAAACAGTTCAGTTTATTATAATATCAACATGGTATTACCGAGGCTGAATATAAACGAATTAAAGATATAATTTCTTTTAAATCTCTTATACTTTTAAAGGAAAGAATATAGTTTTTAACAATAGTCAAAATTGATTATAAAACAAATTACATTAAAATCAAATAGCCTACAAAGTCTTTCATTTGATAAAGTTACTTTTAATTCTAAACACAGCAGGTTGCACAATTAAGATGAAAATGAAATAAATAATTAAAATTAACAAAATAGGGTTCAATTATTTTCATAGTTCATAGTGTACGTAATGTTCAAAACAATAAACAGGGCTTTGACGACAGAATACATACGCAATAACAAATTCATCCTATGACTACCCCAACTACGATTGTCTTACGTCAATTATATTTACTACAAAATGCATTGCCATAATACAAAAATATTATTAAAAATTTACTTCTACGTCCATAATAATAGATAGTAGATAATCGAGACACTTTTCTGGAAATTTTAATTGTAATTTTCCAGAAAAAATTACATATCTACGTATGTTATTACATTTTCGATAACAAAAATAAACATTTTTTGTTATTTCATAATTTGCATAAACTTTTATCGGAATCAGTACCAGTATAGATAATGATTTTAAATTGTTTTATCTATCTTTATTCACGTTACTTTTAATGGAAAAAGTTTAAGTTATCAACTTTAACACGTGTTGAAGTTTCGGTCGCTTCAGGTGGGTGTAAATCACAAAATTTTGCACTTAATTTAAATGAGTTATAATAAAGTTATTTATTTACTGATAATTTTAATACAATTTATATATATTTACAAAATGCGAATTAAGTTAATTAAAACCGAATAAAAATTTAGTAACAATAATAATCACTATCAATTCGTGAAATAAATTAATGAATTCAATTTAAATAACAATGTAATATATAAAATTATGTATATGTTTGTATAAAGACAAATAAATAAAGATCCTATGGTCATATATCTGTTTTTATGTGTGGATGTTAAAATGTCAGTGACGAATTAATACTGCTTATATATGTCATAGAAAATATATATTAAAAACTTGTTAGTTCTTAAAATAAACTTATAATATTACTCTGTCAATGATTTTCTACTGCTACATAATATATCTTATCCGGTGGAAGCCAGTTTTAATTAGTAAAGGTCGCTTTGACTTTAATGAACGGCCGATTTTATCAATTGATATGTTTTGTACTCTAACTTATATTGTACACATATGTAAACTATTACTTTAACAACTGTTATAATATGGAATTATATTATTACAGGAGGTTTTTAACTGTGAAGAAGTTTTGGAGAATATTCAGGTGGTCAAAATTTTAAGTTGTTGTTATTTGAAAGCTTGAAAGACTTCATTCACACAATTGTTGAGATAATATTTTTTCTTATCTATACATAATAAAAAACATCTAATACTAATAACTCTTAAAATGTTGAGATTATTTGTGGTCACAGTCAATTAATAAATAAAAAAATATTCCGTCTTATTGCACAATTCAATGAAATCCTTAAAAATCAATAAGTACTTAATACCATAAATTTGATTTGTTAGTTTTCATTCCTTCGCCAGAGACCTAGTCTATAGATAAATAATCCAGTTCGTCTCGACGAGAGTACAAAAACGTTTAAGGTAAAGATGAATTACATTGTATGCAGATAAAAAGAATACAGAGGGTGTAAAAAAAATTCACAAGAGCCAAAACTATAAGTAGTACTACAATATGTATGTATATATATCTACTATATATAAATAATACAACAAATTAATTGATATAATCTCAAATTCAAACTCAAATAACTTTATTCAATATAGAAGCATTATACTTTCTTATTGATGGTCACTTAAGACACTACCACCGATTCGGAAAACAAAATACCCTGACCTGAGAAGAAGAAATATAACAAAATGTTTCAAGCTTCATCTGTGAAACCGTGTAACTAAATAACATAAGTGCTAATCAATTTTCTTTTTAATTTAACTGTGTAATTTTATTAAGTTTATTTTAATCGCTTAGTTACTTACTATTTTTTACGTATTGTTTGCATAAAATTTGCACTTATTGAATATTTTATAACAACTCGTAAATTTAAATAATGAAAGATTTTTATAATTTAAGGAACATTTATTCCTTCTACAACAGTTGTTTCTGTTCCAACCAATTACTTCTGTGACAGTAAAAAAATAAGTCATGATTGATCATGCATCAACATTTTCTTTCTATCAAATCTGTGCTATCTCTAGAACATGTAAATTCATTTATTAATAATACATATCTTTGTAAATCTATTAAATAATTTTATCAGATTAAGATAAGTGATTAACAAATTGTCTTTATTACATCATCTTCAAAACTCAGTTGAAAATAAACATTAGATGATGCAATCTTCAGCGGTATAACATTACCTGCGCGTGCCACGAGCGACAGACGCCACGCGGCGCGATGTCCGGCCTTGGGTGGCTTCATTCATACAACGAGTGATGTATACACATTCGGATATTGTTGCGTCATACGGCTTGTAAATACGGAAATATATCCTGATATATAAATAAATATTTTACGGTTAATCTTGCTAAAAAATTTTGATATTTACACGCCGTCTGTGAAAATTATTACGATATTATAATCGAAAAATTGGATTGAAAACTACAAAAAACGTGAATTTATGTGAGTTTTGTCAGAAAATATAGTATTCATTTTGTGTAGAGAATGTGGAAATTTTATAAACACGTATTACATTTTACGGTCACATGAATAATCTGGCTGGAATTAAAATTATGCCTGAAAAAACATATAATATACGTTTTAATAAAACTTCACAAGTTTGTAAATTTTTTACCCTCAATTATCAATACTTTACCGAGAGAGATGTTTTAGAATATAAGTAATGGACAAGTCTATCATGACTCAAAAAAACACTTACGTGAAACTTTCTGTTACGCGTATTAACAAGTAATAAGGCAAATTACCAAATACTATAAATTAAAAATCAAAATTAATATTATTATTGAATAATGCATTGTTGTAAGATTTAACTTGATAAACTGATAAGCTTTAATTTCTTATAAATAAATAATTAT